TCTCCCAGAGCCTTTCCTTCCTTGCGTTCTGGGCCTTTTTACCCTGATCCCGGCCGAAAGAGGAGGTACCTAAATACGTAGGTACATGGAAGCATGGTGAGGTCAGGGCAAGGAAGGGAAGGAACGAACTGGTGCCATGTGCGATGGATGGGAGGAAGGAAGGAAGGCCAGACTAGGTAGACCTTCTTGCATTGTCTTCCATCCTCTCCTTCCGTGTAATTCCAGAGTACATAGCTGGACTTGATGACGGAGAGAAGGAGGGACCCATTGTCTACCTTCCGATTAGTAGGCAACTCCCATTAAGTCAGTCGAGAATGGCAGGAGCGAGTTCGGTTAACGAGGTCGACAAAGAGCAGGAACGGAGGAGGGGAGCTACGTCCTATTGGTTTAGTCATTTTAGCTGCAACTCTGATGGGAGTCATCGTTGCACACTTTTTTTTCCCTCCATCCCCCGGCCAAACCCCACGATGGCTGTACGGCGGATACTCCAACTCCGCCATTTTACACAACTCATGATCAAGACACTGGCAATTTTCTACGGACACCGACTGAGAATAGGCTTTCGCTTCTCTTGCATCTTGCCTCTGCCCCCCGAGACGGGTCTGCGGGACGGGGATGCACGGAAACTGCTGCAACAGGGCGCCTCTGTCGTTTCGTGCTATTCTTTCTTTTCTTGTCTTCCTTTGTCTCTCTTTTCTGACTCTCTCGGCAGGGCCAACCCCCGTCTCTTTCAAAGTCACCTCCCACATGGTCAAGCCTCGAGGCAAAAGAAGAAAACAAGGACCAAGGACCCTTTCTGTTAGGAGTCCGCCTTCCAGTTCTCTCTGTCAACAACAAGCTCGCCCGCAGCCCAACTATGGAGTACATACGCAGTGCCTACCCAGCGACCCGTTCTACGCCAGATACAGCTTAACCTCATCCCCTGGTCCGTGTGTCGCCTTCGACTGCCTAGGCGCAATGCCCCCAGGCTCAGTGTGGAGGAGGAGAGTGGATGAGCTCCCTTAAGCGCCATTTTCTCTGTCTCTCTGCCTCCGCCTCTGCTACTGGGTCGATTGGTTCACGCGGCGGTCAGAGATCTCTGCCTCAAAGACGGCCCAAGCCTTTCGGGATTCAGGGTTTTGCGCTGTGCCCTATACCGGAGCCACGCTCTCATGTTGCATGTTCGTTTGCGGCTTACGGCTTGCCCTCGGCTTTTCGACGTTGCTTTTCGACGTTGGGGAGGGGCCTCACTTGGAATGGGGAAAATACATCTCCGTACTGTTTCCAGCCTAGGTAAACGGAGTATTGAAAGGCTTTTTCAACGAGTTTTCCAATGACTACAACAGAACTATCGGATGGAGTCATGCTCTAATGGCACGAGTCGTCCGTCTACGCCGGTGAGACCTGCCACGGCTGATTCCCATCCGATGTTCAAGACACCGGCGATATTGAGCAAGACAGTACGGCTGACGTGACTCTCGTGTTTCCACGGTAGTTGGTTTAGTCCACTGCCTACAGAGACTGAACCTGACTCTGCGACGAGAGGGAGGCGGTTCTCAAACCACTTAAGCTGCGTCACTGCTATGCCAACGGCACGGCACAAAGTGGTGCGCAAAGCTAGCCTACTAGCCTTTGCAAAGGTAGTTCATCGGGGTTTTGTGGTGTTGTCAGTCCACCAATCCACAATACCATTGGTGACATTCTGCCGACGCCAAAGATACGTGCCTTAGACTCCAAAGTTTTCAACTACCTGTTCTGTCATTACCATGGGCAATTTACACTGCCCATGCCTAATGGCATCCTTCGTACTTACCAGGTGCAGTACAGAAGCAGGATGGTGCCATTGGCGAGGGTTTCTCATCTTTTCCTGGGCTATTCTACAGCCAACTCTTATGCAGTGGACGTCACAGAGCAGACCTTGCAGCAGCCAACCGTCAGTCAACTTCCCAGTATCCATACGGAGTACTTCGGCCTTCCTCTGCAATATTTGCAGCCTCCGTACAACAGTTGAGCGGCTGCCAGTCCATCGACAACAACGTTGCTGCAGCGGAGCGACGGACACCAATGGACATTCGCCAGTCGATGGCTGAACAGACAGGGAGTGGGGCAGGGTTCAGGGCTTCTCCCCCCCCCCCCCCATCTTCTGCCCGCCAAACCTGGCTTTCACGTTCTTCATTGCTGGGAATGTTGGAGCCTCAATGCTCGTCATTGGGTTGACTTTGAGGCATCTAGCTGTAGCCTGTAAGTTTTCGGTCACCGACACAGTGAGTTAATGGCTACGGATCTAATTCTTCCAGGCTTTCCTCAACACCTCTTTCGTTGCCCCCTCTTCTACCCTCACGGTCCGCATTTCCTCGTCCGGCAGATACCACAACAGCTCGAACCATGGGCACGTATCAAACCTCTTCTCTGCATCCACCTGTTGTCGGTGACGGCATGCCTCCTTGCCGCTTCGGCCTAGGGGCCGCCGTCTTTTTTGCCCTGCTTTGGCACCGCCTCTGTTGTTCCGAGAACACTAATCCTGATTCTGTTTCGTTTCCTTCGCCATCAGGGATCATAGCTCGTCCTCCTCCCCTCCCCTCCCCTTGTCTGTGAGTTTGGCCAGGGTACCAGGTCCCGGTCCAACGTTTTCCTCTGCTTTGACCGGGGCTACAGGAATGGTCAAGCGTCCTTGCACAATGTCCCCTCACCCCTGGTACGGGTTGTGCTCCCCGTTGGCCGGAGGAGGGCTCGCGGGAGACGTTCGCGACTTGCCAGCCACTGACAGAAGGATGGGCCATGGCCAACATGCACCGCGGTTGAACCAAAGAGATGCCCACTATTTCACGGCATGCTCTGCTGGGACAAGTACGTTCTGGGCCTTCTCATTCTCTCCACCCAGGCGGATCCTGCTTTGCCGATTTTGGGTCCGGCTCCAAGAGCTCGGTGGGCCTGACACTGACAGTTGACAAGGACACTTTAGCATGGCTCCGGCGGATCTGCATAACTCGGCTGGATTCGTTCGCTGCATTATGCATGCACAATGATCTGGCTATTACGAGGTCAACCGTCATAGTCGCAATTGTCCCGACGACCAGTTGCCGACCGGTTCCGCCCTTCAACGTCAGTCACTTCGAGACCTATTCTCCCAGTGTACTCGCCAATAAGCCGATGATTCTCTGAGGTACACGAACAAGGTATCACTCAAAACTATGTCGTCCAAAGGTTCGGGCAAAGGGACGAGACCGTGAGCCCGGAGCAGCACCTCGACTCGATTGTGTATGGTACCCCAATCTCAAGTTCTTTGGTGCGCAAACCGTTCGACGCCCAAGTCGACCAAATCATTTATCCCCATAGCCCTCAGCAGTCCTCGCTGCAGGTATAGTTTACCCGATTGGCTCTTCTACATTGGCCATCTCTACCGCAGTGTTCTCCAAGATTTCTTTTCGCTCGCTTGGAGGTCGATTGTCGAGTTGTTCCCAGCTTTTCGGTCGCTTGATTGGGTTCGTTGTCCACAAGGGCCAGGGCTTGATAAACTTCCCCCAAGTGGGAGGTTCGTGACTCCACTGCGCAGCGACCAAGAGCTCAGTATGGATACAGCACTGAAGCCCCGGAAACGGCGGACCTCGGGGCACAACAAAGAGTAACGTGGATAAGATTTGCTAGTGCTTGTCACCAAGTATGGTCTAGGGCATGTGGCCCATTGGGTACCCATCAGTGCAGTCATCGACTCTTTAGCAACGCCGGACATTGTGGTGCGATATTCCATCATGGACAAAAACTGTAGAGGTCGGCTTGTCAAAATCAAGGACTGCCAGTATGCCAGTATCTCGACCCCATACTCTATACGCTCTTCTGGGCGAGCATCGCAGACAGCAAAGCTTTTGGAGGATCCCAGCGGCCCCTCAATCCGTTTTCGGCATATCAAGTCCCTTCCCCAGCCACGACTCACGATTCACCCGCCTTTCGTTAGGTTGCCTTCGTCCCCTCCTTGCGAGCGGGTATGTTCCAGGTCGGCGGGTAACGCAACGCTGTGGCGCGGGGAGCGATGTGGCTTCCTCCTTCCTGCTAAGGAATAGTGACCAGCCCCCAGAAGATGGGTGCTGATGGAATGGCATGGAACGATCCGATGGAATTTGGGGGCCGCCTCTCTGGGCAACGCCGGAGCAGTCGCAGCTAAGCCGTGATGCAAGAGTCAGGTTTCCCACGACATGGACTTGGGCCAAGGAACAATCTTGGGCGGAGGATACGATTTTTGCGAGTTCACGAAGCTGCGAAGAGCCAGCTTCGTGGTCGTTGAAAGAACATCTACTGTGGTAGACCTCATCAACCTGTATGCACTTCCATACGGGTTGCCATGACTAGACTACGCTCAAGGCCTTCAGATTGCGAAAGGTCTTGCGTACTCGGAAGCTTTGAGCATAGGTACCTCAACCCCAACCTCAGGCTCTGGCTTCCAAGAAGCCTGTGCCATTCTACATACGCAGTAAACAGTGCAGCCCACAGCGGAGACCAACTGACAAGTTGACATGGACCTGGTTGACGGGTGAGAATCTCGATGAATTGCCAGGACCTGAGCGAGGAATGACGATTGTCGAGCAGGGCCAAGGAAGACCTAGACTCCAGCTTCTGGTGGTCCACAACGGCGCAATTGGCGAATGACGTGCTGCGCCCTGGTCCGATATTACAACATCCTCTTAATGCCAGGGCTATCCATCGCAACTTCACGAGGCCTGCGAAAGTCTCATATGGATTTACGGGATACCGAGGGTCGAAACTATGCGTGGACAGGTCATAGCAGCGACTGTCACTACGATAGTTTCCTGTTATTACGACACGGGCAGAACCCCACTCAGGTCAATGCACCATAACAAACAGTCGAACTCACGCCCATGGGCTGCCTAGGTAAACACTGTTTGCTTTGCAGTGGTTGTCATAACAGAGCAGCCGCGCATCTACGAATACGCACGGGACATCAGGAGACGAAAGCTGGACTGCGACAAGAGGATGCTTTTCGATACGCGGGGCGGTATGTTGTCCATTCATCCGGCGAGGCATATCAGGTTGCTGAAGCTCTTCCCATTCCGATGCAGCGCCATGGTCACCGTGGGCTTGGCTCCTTCAAGCGCTGAGTATTGTTGGTCGAGAGTTGTCCTATGGTCGTCAGCACTCGCTGGACTTCCAAGTTCCGACTCCGCAAAATCTAGCCCCATCAGTTTGCTGCCTGGAAATTCGATCTCAATGACAAATGCAATTTGTTTCTTAAGGAGGGAAAAAAAAAGGCTGGGGAATGTGTACGTCTTCTCCGCGAGCCGCCAACGTATCAACGCTGCTGCCCAGCTGAAGCCGCAAGAGAAGCGCGTTGCAAGTTGCCAGGCTCCCTCTTTGACTTGATTCAGCCAGCACCTCGTGTCCGTTGGCCATATTGCCTGCCAAGCGTCGCTGCTACAGGGAGACTCGATGGCGCGAGACCATTGTCGCAAGTTCAGAATATTGTAGCGAAACGCTGGCAGCCTCACTCAGGGCAACGAAGCGCCTCCTTTGAGGCTGGCGGGATGGATGGAACTTGGTGAATGACTCTGCTTCTATCAGGCGGATTTCTGGATCTTGGCCAGTCAAGCGCTTGGCGCCCATCTTGTCGTACGCACGTCTGCTACAGGGGTGGGGTAGAACGAACGTCCTCTCCCTGTCTTTCGCCGCTAGATATAGTACTGCCCCGAAGTCCCGGAAGCGCCTCGACCGGTATGCCAGTTCGCCTGGGCAACGGACATGGGCAAGCCATGTTCCCGGAGTCGCGCGATCATCTCCTTTTACCTCGCCTCATTGGGATGTGTCAAAGCAGGCATTTGTTGACTCGCAACTTGTCGATCCCTTCCGGTTCCTGGCTGAACGACGAGTACACACCTAATCGAATACTCCGTGGACGGCTACCTATACGTACTGGTTTGAGGCTCCCGACGGCTCCAAGATTCAACAAGCAGCTTGGGAAAAGGCGGGCCGGCTTTGAGTTCGCCGTATCGACGAGGCTTAATTTGAATCAGCTTGCCGGCATCACGGTCACATCGTGCTTTCATCATGGCCAGACTCATCCAGCATCGAGAGTCATTTTGCACCCACCACTTTCCGCGTTTTCATGAACAGAAGCATGTTCTTCTTGGACATCGACATCTCGGCCCTCTCTTTGACAGCTGCACCCTGCTCCGAATTCGCACTGCCCCCGTCAGCGCTGCATGTGTTGTCTTAAGGAAAGGAATGCTACGGGTACAGCCCCCTAGCATCACACTGTGACCTTGGAGCAAAGATCACGACGCGGAGCCCCTCTCAAGTCTCAACTCGCAGGTCTGAGCTCCGATACCACGTGTGTCGGGCATTCTCCACCAACATTCTGAACAAGGATCCTCCACTTTGGCCAACTTCTAAATTTTGAATTTTCAGCAACGACTCGAATGCAACCTCGTCTTCTGGCCGCCCCATCATTGCTTCTTCTCGGATAATGGCACCACATGCGGCTTCCAGCATCGTCATCTGCCTTGGAAGCAAACTCTGTTCCACGTCTCGCAAAGATATCGAGGTCTGGGGGCCAGTCTCACTATCAGGTGGCTCCACGGATGACAACGCTGGTCGGCTCGTCCTTCCTATCCTGCCTCCCGTCTTGTTACTCCCGTCTCAAGGATAGATGCCACTGCACCGGCACAACATCAAAGCCGTATGGCACAAGGGCGGGCCACTGCGAAGCTTAGACAAGAGCACAGTTATCCCTAAGAACGCCAATGCATTCGTAACGCAGACTCTTCCCCTCGCTGTGCGGAGAGAGCTCCCACATCTCTCTCGCCTGGTTCAGCGCGTTAACGGCCGTAATATCAGCCGTCACTGAGAAGTTGGCTGATAACCGCGAGAACTCGCAACGAAACTTATTCTTCTCCTCCGGTCTGCGCAATTTCTCGCCATGACCTTCTTGCCTAAAAGTCCATCTCTACAAACGAAGTCTTCCTACCTTACGTAGCAATATGTCACATACTCGCTATCCACCTGGCTTCGGTGCCGCCCGAAAATGTTTCCAGTCGTTAACTGAAGGGATGTGGCTTCTGAGTATGCCGGCCAACCTGCATATACGGCGGGTTTGGCGAGAGCTCCTCCCGGCACGAGAAAACTTTTTACCATCCACAGTGCCGTAGCACATCGGATGCTTTCGTCTCTCGAATCACTTCATCTAGGCCTGCCGGTGGAATCTCAAGGTGGGGCTACAGATCCTTCCTTGCTGCAGCGGAACAGGCTTGCTCGCTTATTGCATGCTCGACACTTTTGCCTGGTACCTCTGACTTGACCTAACACCGTCCGTACATACGCCGCTGAGCTCAAGCCCTAGTTCACTCAGCAAACGGCGTGGTTCGCGAAGAGGGACACCGGCCAGCCCCGGTGGAACCAGATAGGGACATGGCACGCCCAACCATTGCCTCCTAAGATCTGACGACATCTTGTTGGCTAATCGATCTAATGAGATGTGATTATATCATAATCACGATGGGTGGAGTTCTCTTGTGCGGGCTAGGGAGCCCATTCTGCTATTTCCGTTGGCTCTCGTCCCTTTTGCCTGCCATTGGGCAAAATGTGTAGCGAAGGCGAGAGCTTTCACTCCAACGGTCTTCGGTCTTCGGTCTACCTGTTCGCCCCTCTCGAAGCCGGCAAGCGGCGCAAATCCCGTTGGCGCTTGCCCCAATAGTCCTCGAGGCTGCGCCGTCGACCGGAGACGGGCCAGCCTCGAGAAAATTGGGGCCGGTCAGAACCTGGCCGACCGAGGCACCTGGGGTTCGACACCCTCATGAGAGCACAGCCATTGATTATACCCAAGGCTTGCATCTACTACACCTAACTGGTGCAGCCGTGTCTAGTGTACGGAAGAGGGTGTGTAGCGTCACAATCTCTGCAGTCTGCACGCACTTGTTGAGTCGATATTCTCAAGCCCGCCGGTGCGGTACCTGGATTGGAGATGAGGTTTTTTCCCCCTTGGTCTTGCGTCCCTTGCATTAGTCGTGCCCTGATGGAGGGTTGGATTGGCAGCTCATTCGCCGATGCCGAATTACCAAATGCAGAGGGGACGGAAGCGAGAGGGGAAGACACGGGTGGCCGGTGACGGGCATGACGGAAACCATCCGGTGCCTGGGCTCTAGCCTTAGGGCTCCGGTAGAAGCGCGGGTGGAAGCCTCACCTTGCAGCAGTACCGCCCAATTCTTTTCTCTGTCAGTACGGTTGCATCGAGGAAGCCCACAGGAAGAAGGATCCCTCATCCAACAGCCTCTTCGCTGTGCCCACTTCACATGTGAACTGAAAAAAGTTGCATACATCCATGTCAGGGAACGAAGCCGGCTGACCGGGTGGGGGCCCGATGATTCTGAATTTCTAACGGGGGATTATGACCGAACAGAAGGCCGATGCGGAGGCTCGCCTGAGTCTTCTTTGGCCTTTGAGTTGAGCCTGCGTGCGTGGAAGACCGGTGCCTTTGGACCGGCCTGGACTCGGCCAAACAGGAAGAAGAAGAAGAAGAAGAAGAAGAAATGGAAAAGGTACTTCCATTCTTACAGTTGGACATCAGCGGTTTGGAAAAATCTGCATGCGGCGAGACTTTTCTCAAAGTTCGAAGTCATCGGTCGGCGGCAAGCCACAGACCCATCACCGCAGGCAAGCCGTCAAGCCAAGGTCGGCACTCGAATCTCAACAGAAAAAGGCAAAAAAGGGATCAGAATTTTCACTCTCCGGTCCCGACGGACTCCAAATTCGGATGATACAGTGGCGGTAGGTTACTTCTATGTTTGGGATGAAAGAGGGTAGCTAGCGAGGGGCGTGGCGTCCTTACCTGTAAGCCATCCGTTGAAGCGGCTTACAGTTCCCTCGGAACCAGGCTGTCGACACCTGGATAATGTTGATGTCGCGTGCGCCCCCTCCTCTATTTGGTAATGATGATGGTCCACGGGTCTACTTAGACCCCCAACAGTTGATGCCGGCAGATACGAGGGAAATAACGGCGAATAATTTTACAAGGTGGATGATTTACTCGTTCAATGAGATGAAAGGTCGTCTTCAACAAGACATGGATGGACTTTAGGCGGTTCGGGTCAAGCAGGCCGCCTAGACCGAAGACAACGAAATTCCCGGCCTTCCTGCCGGAAAGCTCGGTGCGCTTCCGGGCGGTTTCGCCTTTCATTCCAGGCCATCCATCGTCATGGTGCGGCGTGTGGCAAAGAATGGGGTGTTTCTTTTGGGACTCCGTCGCACGATGCCACGAGGCGTTGCGGGAGACATCGGCGCCAACAGTTGGTGTCACGATTGCGTGTGTGCACGGGCGAGTGTCCCCAAAGCGGGAGCATGGCTGGAATTCGATGTGACCGCAAATAGCTGTCAAAATCTTTAGAGGAACATTCCTGCAAGGATAACTTGGATTCCAAGGATCCCCGATATTGGGGTTGGTGGCGGCGATGCCTGGGAAACACTTCATGGCGCTTTTGAGGGCTGAAAAGTCAATTGAGAGAGAGGAATGAAAAGCCAATTCCCGCTTTGGAGCTGTGGAAGAGTCTTTCTCTTCTTTGCGTTTCTCCATTCAAAGGAAGGGCGCTGCAGCGTCAAAGTCAAATCAATAATACCTTACTCAACAGGGCCAGCAAGCCCAGAATCCGACATTGAAGCCCGGACTGGCCAATAGAAGAGGATAGCGACAGCAACTTGAGCGCGAAAAGGCGAATGGCCGAGTTTTGCGCGTTGGGACTCTTGTCTGCTCTATGTTTGACTTACACCGAGGCGCATGTAGAGCAGAGGATTCGATGCTAATTCCGAATAACCACCCGTACCTTACAGACTGCGCCCTCGTGGCAGCTTGGACTGGCGCGCGCGCACGCTCAATCGGGGAATTCTTTTTTATCTTTATCCTTTCGGGACCGAGGAATGCTGCGGGCTGATGCAAAGGTTCGGCGCCACCAATGTCTGAGACCCCGTGATCGCCCGTCAACCCGCGATAAGAAGAAAGCCGCAGATTACTTTCTATCTTACTACGTCTTACCAAGGAGATGCTGTGCTTTTCGCTGCGAGACATTCGAAACCCCGGAATCGATCGATATGTGATCTCGGGGTAAGGGGACGACGGCGCACTGATGGGGAATATCGAGCGATAAACTTAGGTTGCGGAAACCTCGAGCTGGGTTCACTTTTCGGTCCGGCCTAGGCAGATCGAGGGAATGTTACCAACTGGCAAGGCCCTGGTCAGGTTTCTATTGCAACTTCACCTCAGGCCCAACCGGTGAAGGGCAAGTCGTTGGTGACGACACGGATATCTTTCTGGCTGGCACCCTTCGAGATGCAGCGTCGTGGCCGTTGGCGATAGTCCGCGGACGGGGGAAAGGATTTGCCCAACGGCATGTCAGGCACAACGCAGTGCACTGCTACTTTGCCGCTCAACAACTGTCGGGAATGAGGGTGATCCTTCGATACGATGCCACAGCTGCTGCTGGGGATGATGTTGCCGCCGCGGCCATCACATCACATCCCGTCACTGGCCAGGTACCCTCGATCCCCCATTGGACCACGTGTGGCCAGCAGCGATGCCACGTCCGATTTGTGCCTCGGATGCAGCATCGCAGGACAGGGCTCTTTTGTCTTCTTTTTTAGGTTCAGGCACGAGCAGGACCCTGCGACGTGCGAGCTGAACTCTGCGCTCCTCCCGTCATGGTGAGAAGAGACGAAATGATCTTATGTTCTGCAGACGGCATCTGTTCGTTGGGGTGACCGTTCGTCTCTCCTCCGTGGGGGGGGGGGGGGGGGGGGGGGGGGGGGGGGGGGGGGGGGGGGGGGCCCGGGGGTGGGGGGGGGGGTGGGGGGGGGGGGGGGGTGGGGGGGTGGGGGGGGGGTGGGGTGGGGGGGGGGGGTGTGGGGGGGGGGGGGGGGGGGGGGGGGGGAGACGGGATGGAGGGGGTGTGGACGTTGGTGTTGGGTGTTCACCATGGTTGATGCGGGTGGGATGCGCTCGGTCAGAGTGGTTGGTGCCGCGGTTCGCGGAGGTGGGATTCCGGGGAAAGACGGGCTGGTTTCAGAGCCGGGAAACTTTTTTGCGCTTTGCTCTTACAGAGTCGAGAACTTCCAACCGCGACGCGGGCGACGACGCGTATGGTGTGGTGAGCTTACACACTTTGTGTGTGTTTTCATGGTTCTTTGGGTTGTCACTAATATTTTACACGAGATTTTGCGACGGTCTAGCTTTTTTGGTTCCTTTCGCGCGACGACGCGTACAAACTTCTACCGAGGCATGGTTGGCTGCGACTACTCGACTGGATGTGGGACAACCTCAATGCGCGCGAATCATCAGGGGGATGGATTGGAGGAATTTACCCCCGAGGCAGAAGGCATACATCAAGGCCTGGTTGCTATTTAGCTTCTGGATGTCCAAGTATGTTGTGGCGTCGCGTCATTCGCCCGGCCAACGGAAGGCAAACCACGGGATGGGACGGGGCGCGCAATCGGGGACGAGATGTTGATTGATGGGCAGTGTAGTGTGCCTCGGGACGAGCGGGAAGGGCAGAGATGGCGGGCGTTTGATGGGTCAAGCTTGATCGGTGAGCAACTGAGCCTTGGTGAGTCCTGAAGGCTCGGACTCTTTGTCTTTTGAGAGTGGCATTGACACGATCATTGCTCTTGGGATAATTATCCCGCGAAAAGATGAGGCTTGGTTCCGGAGAGCGAAGGAGGAGCGATGCCAGATTCTACAATAGACGCGACGGGGAGATAGGTTCGGCATGCCACGCTGCGACAGACCCGGCGGATGCGGACGGCGGGTGTGGATTGCGGGACGGACGGTAGTCCTGCGGTGGTGGGGTCGCGCGGTCCATGTGGTTGCAGGAGGAAGAATTTGCGGTCCCGGCGGTGCGGGCGCGGCATCGCTCTTTTGTGGTTATGAGTGAGTCTATCCGTTGCAACATAATTATCCCAGAGAAGAGGAGGAGGAGGAGGAGGAGGAGGAGGAAGAAGGAGGAAGAGGTCTATGCTGAGTTGTTTGCTCAAGCGCAAGCGCGACATCGGCGGCGACATGTCGATTCGCGCGGCACATGCACGGAATGCTGCGAGACACTGGGCAGAAGGGCACAAGCCTCGAGGCAGCAACAGAGGATGAGGTCCAGACCTGGCCGAGCGCGGGTGTCTCTTCCCTTCTCGCTCTTCGTGCTGGAGGGCGTTTTGACTACCCTTTGTTGGTCTCTTTTTTATTCCCGTTTGGTGCCCACGGTTCCTTACCTTAGCTGGGCTGCTGGTTGAAAGACTGATAAGGGTTCTCTCCGCGGGTAGAGCCTTGAGGGTTGAGGATTGAGGGTTCGAGAGGATCTATGCGCCTGTCTGTCGCTGTCTGAGCATGAGCGTGAGCAGTATTTTGCCCCCCCCCCCCCCTCGTCTGAGGGTTTGGCAGGCCTAACGGGGAGATATTCCGCGGATTCCGGGTCCGAAGGTAGGTTGAGTTGTGGCATCTTTGAAGGTGAGAGAGGGATAGGATATGTGAGGGTTTGTAGGTTCTTTGGGACCGAGACGCTTTGCTCGGATGGTATGTGATGTAGGAGGCTTTTCCGGGCGTCCTTTCGCGTTTGCATGAATTTCTCGGTCTTTTTCTCGTTGTTGATTTGGGGGCATGGTCTGGTGATACATCTGAGAGCTGCGACTGACGGCGTTGCGAGGGAGGTATTGTTGATTTGGATTTGATGCTCTTTGGCGACTGAGGCGCAAACAGGACGAGGCGTCTCTGTCTCTCTCACGTCCCTGGGAGACTTTGAGTATGGTTCGCACTGGGATGAATTGCGAAACGTAAGGCAAGGCTGCATGGTTCGCCTTCGACATTCGCGAGGCTGACTGTTCTAGGTAGACGTTTTATGGACTTGAGGAGCTAGCTAGCAAGCCCAGGTAATTCGAGGCAAGGTAAGGTGAGGTTAGGTGAGGTGAAAGACTGGCAGCAGAGGGCGACTTGAGTCTGGTGGCTTTTCCGGATCGTAGGCAGCAGCGCCGAAAGCGGGGTCATTTGGCCCCCCCACCAAGTATCGTCTCAACGTCTTCGTGAATCGCTTCGTGAACAATGGTGAAGTCGAGCTTTTGAAGTTGGGATTTCGTTTATGACTCATCCTACGGCACAGCAAAGCTGATAAACGTGAGAGTTTGAGGACGACGTCTATAAGGCAACTCGCCGCATCTCCCGTCAGCGCTTTGGAATCTCGACCGTCCACCTTACAAATTCACATGACCATGGCGCCCCGGAAACAGCCCAAAACATGCCAACACAAATCCATCGTCGTCGACGCCTCAGCCTACGGCCGCTCCAGGGCAGGGTTCCTCCGCGTACCCGTTGAGAAACGTGTCGCGGCGACGACGAGGTCTGGGAGGGTTATCCCGGTTGCCGATGCCGATGCTGGTACCTCCAATCCCGACCCCAACTCCAACCCCGGCCGCAGCGCCGGCTACGGCTCCGGCTCCGGATCTGACGTCCCCGCACCGCCTGACCCCTCCACTTTTCCCGGCCCGCTTGTCCTCCCCGACGACGACCTCGCGCTGGAACCGCGGTATCCGCCGCAGAGTTTGCGGGCGTGGGCTTCCGGGGAGTGGAGGAATCGGATTACAGGAGGGAGGAAGACTTTGTATGTTGCCGATTTTCCGGGTGTCGAGGGGGATGTTGGGTTCATGAGGGAGTGGGAGGTTCCTGTTTTGGAGGGCCGTACGGCGGATAGCTTGGAGCAGCCGAAGGTGGAGGATGTGGTCTCGTATTTTGAGGCGTTTTATCATCCTCTTCCGGTGATGGTTCTTCCTACTGCGTTTAGGTTTGTCAAGTGGGCTGATGAGGGCGTTCCTCGGGGGAAGGCGAAGGAGAAGAAGGCCTTCATGATTGGTCTCGCAACAGGATCTTCCGTCGTCGGAATCAGATGTCGCCCGTCACCCGACGACTTCGCCAAATACCAACTCAACCTCAACGACCTCCTCGACGCCCTCTCAGGGGTTCTCCCGGGCGACGCGTATGCCGCGTGTATGCTTATCGCGCAGGATCTATACGAAGACGAAGATGATGACTTCTGTTGTGGGCGGGCGTTTGGAGGGAGTAGGATTTGTACTGTGAGTTCGTTTCGGTATCGGCCGGCGATGGATGGGGTTATGGGGGTTGAGAGGGGGCATGGGTGGCCTGCGAGTCATTGTGGGCGGTTTGTGATGGAGGCGTGTGAGTGGTGGGAGGAGCAGGAGGAGATGGAGAGGGTGAGAGGGGGGGGAGGTGGGATGGAGGTGGATGGGAGGGGGAGTAAAGGGAAGGGCAAGGGGAAGAAGGAGGGCGGTGGTGAGGTTCTTGTTGATTTGAGGAAGGTGAAGGGGACGGCTATGGGCGCTGCTATTTCTGCGTCGAGGAATGTTCTTGTGCCGAGGGAGGCATCGCGGAATAAGAAGCTGGCGGAGGAGGACTTGTATGGCATGTGGTTTTCACGTGTTGCGAGGACGGCGGTTCATGAGGTTGGGCATTGTCTTGGGATGGATCACTGCGTTTATTATGCTTGCGTCATGCAGGGTACGGGGGGTTTAGGTGAGGATTCGAGACAGCCGCCGTACTTTTGTCCTGTTTGCGAGGCCAAGTTCATATGGGGTTTAGGGGAGATGGGGGTTGTCGAGGGGGGGAGGGGAGGAAGGTGGATGGAGGGGCGGATGAGGGAGGTTGAGAGGGAGAGGATGGAGGTTATGAGGGCGATTTGCGAGAGGTGGAAGGGGGTTGGGATGTTTGCTGGGTTTGGGGGGTGGTTGGAGGCTCGATTAAAGAGGGAGTTCGGGGAGAGGGATGAGGCGGAGGTATCAACACGTGTCTCGAAGGAAGTACGGGAGGTTGAGGTTATCGTGATTGATTCGGATTAGGGGCGTGCGAAGGTCAGTGAAGGGGTGTGACTGCAGTAGAGATGAATTCTTTCATCTCATCAAACGTCACAGCTGTGAGATAAAATGTTCCATGCTGCCAGATGGCATCAATATATATGTATGTACCTCTTTAAGTGGTATAGCTATCCCACCCTTTTCACCCCATATTCGTCCACGAATAATCAGACATGAAATAAAAGTTGGAGAAAGACTAGAGACGGATGTAATGACAACTCTAGCAGTTGGTGAGATACTTAGGACAGTACCAACGACGGGGTAGCTTATAGGTAGCACAAGAGAAGAGGCAATGTCGTCTCGCCGTTGGTCGCCTGGGAAGTATGCCTCACTTTCAGAATGGAAGCTGCGATTGGTCAGATTCACACCGAGAATAGCAACTTGCAGCAACTTCGCCGCTTCGGCTCTTGCCATCATTGGCTCAATCACGGCTTATCCTGTAGGCAGAATTGAAGTATCTGACAGAGAGCCTGCTCCAAGACGACTCTCTGTTACCCCCCCCCCCCCAATCACGCTTCTACCAATACCCCTCACTTTCGATCGCTTCACTTCGTTCCTTGACAACGTTTGGCGACGAAACACTCTCACACGCGCCAGGCGGAATCGCGCTTTGAGGCCCTGAACGCAATTGCACTCTTGCGCAACCTGGCAGCACCTTCCTTCCTCCCCCTCGATGGCTTTACCACTCTGACATTACGAAACATGACCCCACTCGAGATCATCGGCCTCGTCAGTGCCATCATAACCTTCATCGACTTTGCGGCCGAGAATGTCGGCGTGGCACGGGAGATTGGGCGGACCGGGTCCGCGACGTTCAAAGACAATGCTGATTTGGGGCGTCGAGTCAAACTTATCGAGGAGCACGTCGCGGGTCTCAATACGAAGGGTATTGGTGCGCCAAGGGATACAAATGAGGCCCAGCTGCTAGATCTTGTTGAGGAGTACAAGAGCCTCACAGTTCAGCTGATGACCCTCCTAGCTGGGCTGAAGTCGACCAAAAAGCGCCACATTCTATCAAAGATGGTCAAGGATTTCCGGAAAAAGGATGAAAAAGAAACACTCCAGAAAGAGTTAGATGATTGTAGATCCAGGATCCATTTGCAGCTCACTCAACTAACGAGGTAAGAAGCTTGGATCAGACAATAAGGAAATGGACGCGTGCGCCTGCTAATGATGTTCCTTTTTCTTAGATCGGAATTGAGTCGCCGTCTCGATGAGATTTCGGCCCAAGGACACATCAACGCGACTAAAATGCAGCATTTGGGCAAGAATATCAAGGAACTGCAATCCAACATCGAGCTGTGGAAACACGTCCCGGGCTTGATGGAAAATGCCAATGATATTCTGTCCCGCTCGAAGGAGGCTGTCGAAAGCAATGCCCAGCGCTTGATCTTGGAGAAGCTCTACGTTGGCGACATGACGAGGAGGTTCGATGAGATTGAACGCGCTCATGAAAAGACATTCTCCTGGCTTTTGGACTCGTGCACACCGTCCACAAGCGATTTCGATTCGAGCGATGCTTCCGAGTCCAGCTATAGCGATGGCTTAGGCTATGTGTCTCGAGGAGACAATGAGTCGCCCAACGAAGGCGGCCAGAACTCCGATCCATTTGAGGTACCGGGTTCTGGTGCAACATCAGACGCCTCTTCCTACGAGGAATCGAATTATCAGTCACACGTATCCTTGAGAAGAACTGCTCAAGAGCTTCGAGCACAAGAAAGCCTAACAGACTGGTTAGGTCGTGGAGGAGGCATCTTCCATATCTCTGGCAAACCTGGTGCAGGAAAATCGACACTTATGAAGTACCTCTGCCAAAGTACAGCTACGGAATCCTATCTCAAAGACTGGGCTGGAGAAAAGACGCTGATTTTGGCAAACTTCTTCTTCTGGAAGCTTGGGTCCACAGCTCAAAAGTCATTAGATGGACTACTTCGGGCGCTTTTATACTCTATTCTGGAGCAAGCCCCCGCCCTGCTCGAGACCGTGTTTCCAAAGCAATGGAGTAAAGCTTCTCAAGGTAAAGCGTTCTCAATCCAGAGCTCCGAGATTGAGTTTGCCTTCTCTCATCTTTTGCAACACACGGCGTTCTTTTTCTCACACAAGATTGCAATCTTCATCGACGGCCTAGATGAATTTGATGGAGACCATGACAAGATGATAAAGATGCTTCGAAATTGGTCTAGGAGTGTCCCAGAAGATATAAAGCTGTGCGTTTCAAGCCGTGAATGGGAGGTCTTTCGCCAGAGGCTAGTCAACTACCCTGGAATTCGCCTGCAAGACATCACGAGCCGAGACATCGAAGCGTACATCAACAGCGAATTATCCGACAATGAAGAATTCAGATCATATTCTTCGGAGAACCCAAGAGTTGAACATCTCATAGATCAGATCAAGGACAAAGCCGAAGGCGTGTTTCTCTGGGTGAAGATTACACTGAAAGGTATTAAGTGGGGTCTTCTTTCTGGGGAACGAGTGGAAGGTCTCGAGGCAAGACTCGAAGCTTTGCCTACAGGTCTTGAAGAACTCTTCGCGTCAATTCTGGCATCCATAAGAACCGGGACTCACACCAACAAGAAGGATAGATTGAGGGCGATGCGAACGATTCTCCTCGCAGCGGAGAAGGAGAAGAGACCCCGTACGAGACGACTAAACTCACCCCTACGTCTAACAGAACTTGCATTCCTAGACGATTATGAGAAGGATCCCAACTTCGTTTTCAGCTTTCCAACCACAAAAGACGCCACTGGAACTTGGGTCTCAAGACAAGATAGGGCTAGGCGGTTGGTCTACCAACGTTGCATGGGCCTTCTTGAGGTACAATCTCCTAGAGGTGATGATCGACCACGATTGATGAGGGGTGTATGTGGCTTCTTTTTGGGGTTTACACAGGCTTCTGAGCAAATCACATCGCGGGACGAGAACAAGTACAAAATAAACGAAAATCTCAATAGCGAGATCAAGAGCAGCCTGCAGAACGGAACTGCACGAATCCATCGAGAAGACCATCTCGAGATCATCGACAAGGCGGACAGTGCATTTCTGCATAATCATGCGTGGTACAACAACCCTGGCAAGCTTAATGATGAACACCCTTCCAGCGAACTGGTTGTGTGCACACATCGATCCGTGTTTGAGTTCTTGTCGCAGCCACACATTAAAAGTCTCATCGACGCCGAAGCCCAGTCCTTCGACTTGGCTGATTTCCGACTCCAGGCTTTCTTGGCATCTTTGAAACTATTTCGTCCCTGCAAGTGGTTCATCGCGAGAAGTATGGTGGCTACGATAAAGCATTTTGTTTGGATTTGCTTTGTATTTCGCGAGTTGGCCCAAGATCGGCTACTGACTTTCTGCGAAGAACTGATCCGCATTCTGAAAGTTCAAACCCCGACTCCAAGCATCGGACCATATATTAGTCGGACAGGACCGTTTCAACTCGATCTATCCGAACTACTTTACGCCATAGAGACTGATGGAAGCCTGGGTATTGCTGTATACGTCGATCTTATGGCAGACTCATGGCCGATCAGCTTGGATAGTGGGTTTTACCAACTGGGACGTCGAAGCAAACGGGACATGTATTACAACATGCTTCTGGACTTCTGCCTACCTGAGATCTTTGATTTTTTCTTCGAAAAGGACTCGACAAAGACATCATATGAAATGAGGACATGCGAGTATATCTCCAAATGTTTTGAAGCAGGGGCAGATCCTAATGGGCTATCTCTACTCGCAACTCGATCGAAGATGAGTTTAACTTGCTGGCAAGCATGGGTTATTGTATCCATGGCCAACAAAGTCCTTTTCAAATCATGGGTGCCCTACCTCAGGCTTTTTTTACTCCATGGTGCGGACCCCATCGTTTGGGTCCACTTCGAGATCGATAGAATATTCCTCTGGTGGCATGATGCGTCCCAGTGGCACGAAGCTAGCAGTTCCTACGGCATGAAGGATGAAAACCATTTTCTTGATGACTTGTCAAGGATCTGGTCTGAAACCAAGCATGCCAACACATATGCAGAAAGCGGCGCAAAGGGTTTTGATGTGTTACTTCGGGATTTTCTTCCAATTTGGCTCCAAGAAGACGGTGCGGAGCTGCAGAAACTCTGTGACCGTAATCAAGGATCAAAACCTATCTTGCGGCCACCTCCTTTTCAGATAGAAGATGTACTGTAATTACTAGTGGTTTTGAATAGATGTGGTTTACGACAGTGCTAGTTTCTGAATCTTTCAAAATAATGCTTGGAAGGCGTGTAGCAATGCCTTTGTTTAGCCATCACATGCAGTCATACAGTCCAAAAGGGTCTTCTACCTTGATAGCTCTACATTTTCGCGGCCACATTAGGTCAGAAGGCTCACTAGCACCTTAGTACTACTACTCCCCTTAGTGCGAAATGTGACCGACGTAGTCATAAAAGTCGATTTTCCGCTGCCCTTCTTTACTTCATCTCCTTCTTTCGTCTTCGCCTACTTCACTTGCATGCCAGCACCACTCGGAACTGGTTGACGGCTGAAGCCTGGAAGACCGTCACGAAAAGGCTTGTAGTTATAGGTGAATAGAAACTGGAACGAGGCATGGAGTTTTTATCGTCACGCGATGAAGCCCAGCTCCACTTCACCGCAAGCGATTCTGCCCGAATCGATAAAGTGACAGTTGGCGCTGCGATCTTGCGACATGACACTCCGACCCCCAGCATTCTTCTCCTCAAACGCGACTCCCACGAGAAACACTACCCGGACGTTTTCGAGATACCCGGAGGAAAGGTCGACGCAGCGGACTCAACTATTCGTGACGCTATCGTACGCGAGGTTGCCGAAGAGACGCAAATGAAGGTGTTAGACATTACCACTCCGTTGTCCCGCATAAGATACACCACTGAGAAGATCGAGGGAACGTCGACAGGGCAAGAGAAGATCGTGAAGCGCCATGCTCTCCAGCTGAGCTACGTAGGTACTGTCGAAGGAACTGAGTTCCAAGCTGAGAAGGAGGAGCACTCGATGGGAATTTGGGCCACCCGCGACAGTCTCGATCAGATTCCCATCACCTCGGACATGAGAAAGGTAATGTTGAAGCTCTGGATGTCACAGAGGGCCGGTGAACTGCATCTGAGTGATGAGAAGGGCATCTGCCGGCCAGAGGAAACGATGGATTCACGAACTTTTGAAGCCGAGTTCCAGGTGATTTGCAGCACTTGACGGGTGGTCAGCATTAGTCTACTTCATAGTCATTGATACAAGAAGCTACTTATGTTGCCGGCGAAACTACTTCCTAGCAGATCATCGACAAAGATTCCTCAACATGCTTCCACTCCTTCACATCCGGCTGCCATCTGAACATTCTGCCGGACACATCCCCTTCGCGACTGAAGTGCACCTCGCGTCTCGACATGCGTGACCATTGCTCAACATCGTCTCCCTCAGCCGTGTTCTCATTCTCAATCGCCACATTCTTCAGCGCGACGCTGTGGAAAGCCCTACTATCCCAAAGCCCGTCTCGGCGGTGGTACTTGCCCAGTAGCTCTGTCGCCTCTCGTCTCACACTGTCTTCTCGGCATCGACACGCAACAATCAACAACGGTAGAGTAGGACCGTTGTCCATGCTGAATGTCTCAGTGCATCCGCCGCAGTTCTGTTGCGCCGAAAGAACGATTCGGCTAAGCTGAACCATTTCGCGGAATGAAGGCGTCAGCATGATCATCACCTTGATATCCTTGTAACTCAGACTTGAGACATCGGTCCAGAGAGTGAGGTACTGTACGCGCAAGTTACAGGCATCCACATAGGCGTGGAAATCGTGTTCCTGGTTCGCCCGCAGGGTATCGTAGACACCTTGAAAGGCATTCTGCCAACGTCGTAGATGGCCAAGGAACTCAGGGAGTACAGTGGCCAGCTCATTCAGGTGACTCGGAGACAGAGCTGGCCGCACATAGCTGCCCACCAGCATCTCTTTCGAGAGTCCGTCGACAAACATTTCCGTGTAGATGGGACATCTATGACACGTGTAATGCTGTACGACCCTCCACCAACGCCGTGCCATGTGGACATCTGTGAAGACGGTTGGCATCTCCTCGACGGCATAAGTACGCTTGCTGCCCCGACAACACCAGCTGATTTGCGTAGCATCCTTGGAGTGCAACACATTGTGTGACCAGGCCTGCATCGTCAGACCCTGAAACACCCACGCAGCATCGTCGCACACTGCGCGGATTGAGTCCGTCACGGGACCGTCCTCGACCATGGAGCGTTGGTTGAAGTAGGTCTCCATCATTTTGTAAGCATGATTCACATGCGACAGTGCTGCGTTGCGATCGCCGTGGAGACACTCGAATGTGACGAAGAGCACGCAGCAGACGATGGCCCAGAGCATATTTTCGCTTGATGGTTGAGAACTTCGCACAAGCTTAATCGCGCGGCCGTATTGTTGTAGAGCGAACTCATAGTGCGGTCCGTTGGCGTGAAGTTCCTTCCTGGACCGCCTAATGAGCGATGGAACGAGGGCGCGGGCCATCCCAGCCATAGCTAGGGCGGCGTGCTTGATCGCTGGCTCACGACGCGCGAGCTGCGGAACGACGCGGACCATGATGTCGTTTGGGAAGAGGTAGATGTTAGCCACGAGATGCTGCCAAAAGTCAAAGTAAACTTTCTCCTGCGGGTTGCTGAAGAATGCCGACTCATAGCCGGGCTCCCTGAGGACAGCAGCAGGCCAGACCCGCCAAGTTCCCTTTGAGATGATCAGGCGTGGTTGAGTTTGGCGATCTGGTTGCTTCTGCTGGAATTCATAGCCTTCACATACGCCGGGCCCTCGAGGCGACTTGGTGCATTTCAGACAAAAGGGGCGAGTTTCGTCACATTTGATGTGTCGCCGTCTAGACGTCCAGGGTCAGCATCGAATACGAGCCAAGACGTTGCGGCAACTTACTTGCACGTAATGCAGCCCGATCGCACTTTGCCTGCACAACTTCGCTTAACTCGTGGTCGCTTCCCCAGAGAAAACGTGGCCATCTGGGGAGACATTCCCGGGATTCTGCAGCCCCTTGTCAGACGAGGACGGCGGTACGTTGGCACAAGCGGCGTACCTCTTCTTCCCGCGCCTCACGGTCGGCAGCGGGGCAAGCCCATCCGCCGGGTCCGGACTCGACGACGTGGAGTCGGAGCTCGATGCAGCGGGCTTTGGTTGCAAATGTGAAGCGTCCATTTCGAGGAAAACATGTAAGATTGGAACTTGCGTAAGCTTCGACGGGGGAGAAACCGTTTTATACCAACCCCCAAGTTGCCGCTGCCTGCTGGATATCACTCCAAAGTTCCGGCTATCGTCTGGGATTTGACCGACTAGCGCTGTAGGGCAGAATCCTTCGAAGGATCACCGGTCAATGCCCGAGCTGCCGTCTCAAAATCTCACCTGGGACAGGGGCTCTAGTATATCCCACTTGGCCGATATTGATCGACCAACGAACCTTAAGAGGAGAATTGTCTAAGGACGGCTTACATGTGCCCGCAACGCAACGAATTTGCCATGACTATGCCAAGTGGTCTAGACTCGATGCGACCAAGGGATGCCCAAAGCAGCATATGGCAATTCTGATAGCCAATCATACGATTGAGCGCCGTCTTTGAGACTTCCTAAGCCACAAAGGATCTCCTACTTTGACGGAACGAATCTTCCCATTGAAAGGGAGAATGTGGTGGCTGCTGCAGAAGCTAGGTATCCCCGATCGTGACAGGAAGATTGCAACCAATCACCGTTCTTGACCGTTCGGCCCCAGCCGCCTTTGAGTTTACAACATCGGACATCTCGCCGCCATCACTCATCAACATATATCTGGGAAAGATGGAGGATAGATTAATGATTAGTCGAGGCAATCAGAGCTCTTGTATCATTGAACATTCAATAGGCATCACAATTGAACCATAGCCAAACCTGTAGATGGCAAGGGGATGCGACAGAACTGCCGACACTTCCTTAGCATCTCCACTCTATCTCGGCATTGTTTCTAAATGCGAGCTTTCCCCAGGGACCGAAAATATCAAAAACGCATGCGCTCAGTTTCTATTGATAAGTCGTGTCAGAATCTGATGGCGAAGAACACAAAGGGTGCCTCTGCGCCGCTGAGAAGGCGGATCCGTGGAGCTCGGTTTCGTCAGCAACTCGCCTGTTTGAGACGAGCGAACTCAAAATGATGTCAAGAGAACTCAAAAGGCTCAAGGACATTTCTTGCCCCATACACGAGCATGAAATAAGAAAGAAGAGATTTCAATTGCACTGAGCCTGACTTCGACACCTCGATGCCATTCCCGAAGTATTCTTCCTCATGAGATCGATCAGCAGGCCCAAAAGAGACTATGCATAGCCAAAAGATGCATCTAGAGGTTCGGCGATGTACCGAGACCGACATCCCCCGCGTCTTCGAGATAGTTTCCTTGGCCTTTGCCAACGACCACGAATTTGTCGATGCAGTCTTCCCTGAGCACAGCGCGTCCGAAGGCCGCAAATTGGGTAGCGAGCGTATGCTCGCTATGTTTCATCGAGATCCTTATAGCAACTTCCTGAAGTGCATCGACACGACCACTGGCCAGATTGTGGCGGCTGCAAAGTGGAACGTCTATAAGGGCGGCCCTGTCCCGCCGCTGTCTGAGCTTGTTGGTGACTACTGGAAGAACGATGAGGAGAAGAGATTTGCACAAGCTATCTCTCGTGGCTTTCTTGCGCCGAGACAACGAGCTATCGAGGAGAGCGGCGCAAGATTAGTTGGTACGTTGGAGAAGCTCGAACCTTACCTGATTTACTTGAAAATCTGAAGCTAATCTTTGGTTCTTTTCCGCGAGCTATAGCACTCGATATGTTGATGTGTGATCCTCAGTTCCAGGGCCAGGGAGCGGGGAGACTACTAGTAAGAGCCGGCCTTGCTATTGCTGATGAGATGGGTGTCGACGTAAGTCGAGACTTTACTTTCTAGTGTTATCCCATCAAGAAAAGACTGGAGGCTGATTTTATGATACAGGCGGTTGTAGAGGGTTCGGATCGAGGAAGAAGACGGAGAAGACTTTACGCATCGGAGGGCTTTGATGGCCCCCATTATGTATGTCCCGTACCTGATGAGTTCGCCGCACGGCGTAAACAAACCTACCCGTAGATGAGGCGACCCAAGACCAGGATCTAAGAGATTCACATGAACTTAAGCTTCATGTATTCTCAATGATCATCGATCATGGTCGGGGCTAAGACCTCTTATAAAGCTCGGGATGATCCAACGACTGGAAGCGCCAATCTTTGTGATGCGAGTAGCAGTTTGCCAATGTCTTCATGCTGCTTCAACTTTCAAGGAGTCGCCCACGTGCGTTTAGGAGCTCCTGTTACGTCAAACTTGTCTGTGCCGGCGACCCTGATCAGCGGTCTTCATGAGCAACGGTGTCAACTTATTCATATTGCAACCTAATTGGAGTTACCTACGGATACTGTGGCTAGAATAAGTACGTCTACTCACATTGCATGCCTAACGCGGTCCTCTTATCAATATTGCGACTGAGCGACCCCGTGCATTCTGGTTGTGGCCCAACGAATGCCGATCATATGTAAAGTTCGTAAGTGTTATTGGGTAGTTGCAATTCGTCACTCGCCGTAAGCTGCATCGATGCGAGGGTAGCATGCATAGAGGCGGGGTTGGCAGAGCCTGCTTCTGGAAACGAATCCGGGAATATATTGAGTTCACCTCCGTTCTCTTTGATCCAATCCGTTCATTTCCATTACTCTTTTTTGATTAAGTGTTGGGAGTCCTCCAGGTTCTCGGTGTATCGTTGCTGCCACATGAACTATCGCTCCGTTTTCAAAGGGCTGTGAGATCCTTGACCTGCTCTCTTGAAGGTATTTCGAAGATATTCCTTGAGGCAGCACGGCCTTGCATAAACGCATATACGCTTCGTACCGCCTGTCGTCAATATGGCTTCCGACCTAGAGGAGGCAAAGACTCACCTCAGAGAACACGGATGGGTTCGTGTCCCGTCGGTTCTCACCACAGAAGAGGCTGCTGGCGTACTTGACCGGCTATGGAAGGCAAAAGCAGCGGCTGAAGCTCGTGGCGAGGACACATACCTGTCGTTCCTGGACCCCAACCCCAGCAACGTGCGGGTGTTCTACTTGCTAGAGCTCGACAAGATCTTCCGTGAGCTCATTGCTCACCCGACTGCCATCTCCATGGTGAAGGCCGTACTGGGGGAGAACTTCCTCATCAGCAACTTCACTGCAAACATTGCCCGACCCGGATCGCAGAGTATGGCCTTGCATTCGGACCAGAGTATCGTCTTTCCCGATCCGTGGCAGAACGTCTGGGCGCTCAATGTCATCTGGTGTCTGACGGATGTCAACAAGGAGAACGGTGCAACCCAATACATACCCGGATCGAACAAGTGGGTTTATCGCAAGGAGGTGCCCGATAATGCGCCAGAGATGCTAGTCTCTTTCGAAGGTAAGGCCGGCGATGTCATTGTCATGGACGGTCGTGTGTGGCACACCTCTGGTAGCAACATCACCGAGGATCAGGATCGGGCACTTCTGTTTGGATATTACACCGCACCATTCATGCGTCAACAGGTCAACTGGACAGCCAAACTTCCCAAGGAAGTCCAGGATACCTGTAGCGAGGAGCTGAAGGAGTGGCTTGGTCTCAATCCTGTAGGGAATATTGGCATGACGGGAGATCTGAGGTATATGTCGGTGCAGTACCCTGACGAGAAGAAGAAGGCACGCGAGACGGTTGCGGCTGGTTGACTCCGCAAGTCCAGGCGGTTTAGCTTTTATTCCATATTTGTCAAGCCGGCCACAGAATCTATTTCAATCAATTTTCACAAAGAAAAACATGCCTCGGTAAAACGGTGCTTGCCGAAACTTCATGACATTTTAATACAAAGATGTATAGTGCATTATCGACGCTATATCGGCAATCACTCTGTTATCATTTCGTTATCTTTGTTACCCATTGTGCTTCCCTAAATGCTACGTTAGTGGACGAGCCATGGTCTTCACCATTCGTCTCCTAGGTAATAAGCGTAATATGTTTGGAATTGGAACATTTAAGGTACCACAAGACTTCTGGTCCTAGGTACTACTTCAGGATCAATGGCATAAACGCATTGAATGTCCGCACGCCCTTAGTGATAGACACATTATGGGCACATCACACTGAATCACTGATGTGTTATCTAGCATAGGTCTTGAATCCCTCGTTCCCACGCTTCAGTCTGTTCACCTAAGGCTTCAAGGAGACAGGAATGTATATAAAAGGAAAGAACCGCCAACTTTGTTTTCAATTGTCCGTAACATATGCTACCTCAACTGCACTCAGCAAGGCATTTCTGAGACTACAGCGAGACTTCACTACTATCTTTATCCATCACCAACCGTCACAAACTCCAAGATGCAATTCAGCCACATATTTATGCACACTGCCATGTTCACAGTCAGCGTAGAATATTCCCTTCCCTCATTCCAAATTTCCGTTTACTAACCTAAACCAGGCTTCTGCTCTCCCCAATCTAAACCAAGTCTCGGAACTTCAAGCCCCTATTGATGGCTACGACATCGTTGTCCCACAGTGGGAGGTCCAGGCCGCCCCTGGAGGCGCGAAGTTGATTCTTTCCGGAACGGTCGAGCAGGTTCTTGCTGAGCTCCAGGTCATCAACTCCAATTACGCGGAGGACTTTGACCTCGACTTCGAGCTTCCCTCTCCTGCCGTTCACAAGCGCAACGACTTTGACAGCGCCGCTTTCGCGTGCAACGTCACCAAGGCTATGGCTGATCAGAGTATCATCGCCAAGGGTTCCAAGTACCTCAGAGGCGTCAAGGGAAAGCCTCACCACCCACCTGGTCCTAACACCTGCGCTCGTGTGAGCTGCAGCTGGAAGTCCGCGATTTGGTGGTGTAACCATGTAAGTACACTAGTAATGCCATCTTGACAAGGCTATTTTCAAGCTAACTTTCTTCAGGCACAGACTCCGCGCGAGCTTGACTCTTTCGGTGTGATTGCTGACGGTACGGATCATATCATTCAAGTCTGCAAGATCAACGGCGAGTGGATCGATGGTCAAACGTGGCACAAGGATAAGTGGAGTGTCATCGTTGGCCGCGCTGACTGCTAAGTCTAGTGAGCTAAAGTGTCTGTTGAGAGAATATGAGGTTCAGAAGTCCAGTGATAGAAGGAAAGGGATTTGGGGGCAAGTCAAGATCATACGCTAGCATGTCCATTAGCACTCCTCCTTTAGTTTAGAAACGTTCTACCAGTGATTGAAATCCTGGTTTCAGTCGTTGAAACTCTTTCATTCTCTCTTAAGATATGTGAACATGAATGAGCTATGACCTGGGAGCTCGGTTACTTCTAACCTAGTCCGCATTGTTCAACCTCCCCATGCACGGGCTGTGAAGCAGCTCGACCCAGCATCTCCAGAAAACAGTATGTTAGTTTCGACCAAGCTTCTATCCCTGACCATACTTTCCTTTTCGAGGCAAAAGGCTGCAGCAGATTTTCTGGATGTTGGGATAAATATTTGCCCTAGTCGGTGTCGTCGCACCGATCAAGTATTCCCGTGAAACCCCGGTTGGGCCTTAATGAGGCTCTGAGCCTCCGTTTGGCATCGCTTGAATCGGCATTTGAACTTGGATCGGCAGCATTGAAGTTCCAGACCTATGAAGACTTACAATGGCAGTGATTATGAGCTGCCGGGCCGAGTCGATGAAAAAAGACTGTCGTCATGAGGCTTCTAGCATGTAGTGCATGTCTCCCAATCCGGCAAGCGATTCGCTCAAGGAAGCCAAGGGCGAAGCTAGCTCACTCTGAGCGCCACCGGTTGTCACACCCGGGACTTTATCTCCTGACTTAGCGCGATTATTTCGGCGCCTACCGAGACGTTGGTGGGGATTTCATAGACGTCATTCACCTATGCATCCTCCCCAGATATTGAACAATTGGAATTGTGCGCCCGAGGTCCAGCTGTGGTATGGCTACGTTGGCTGCAGCAATGAGAGCTCTGACGCGGGGAAGGTTGAGGCAATCCGAGCGTCATCAGTTGTCCTCGTGAGTATATAAACAGAAGTAGAGTACAATTATCAGCAAATTCAGTGCTATTTTGACTTGCAATCGAGGCAGCAAAGTTCAGAAACAGCAAGTCTAGTCATAACACCCGACAATACCCATCAAAATGAGCTACCCAGAGAAGTTTACTGGCTTCTGCACCGCAGGGCCTAGCTCGTGGAACAAATTCACCAAAGAAACTCTCACGCCGAAACCCTTTGAAGATCACGACATTGATGTGCAGATCGAATGCTGCGGTGTCTGCGGGTCTGACGTCCACACTATCACCGGCGGCTGGGGCGAGTACGAGGGTCCCCTGTGCGTCGGCCACGAGGTATGTCTTGCTTCCCCTGATCTTAGTCTTGAAATGTGAGATTAATGGCCATCAAGGTTGTTGGCAAGGCTGTTGCTGTGGGGAAGAACGTGAAGGAGATCAAGGTGGGCGACAGAGTTGGTGTGGGTGCTCAGGTTTGGGCGTGCCTCAAGTGCGAGCAGTGCAAGAACCAGAATGAAAATTACTGCCCTCACTTGGTCGGTAAGCTTTTCCTCTTGCAGCAGAGGTTTCGACCCAGTACTGACATCGTCTGGTAGACACATACAATGCCAAGTACGAGGATGGAAGCCAAGCACATGGCGGCTTTGCTAGTCACATTCGCGCTCACGAGTACTTCACCTTCAAGATTCCTGATGCGATAAAATCGGAGAATGCTGGCCCACTAATGTGCGCCGGTCTCACCACGTACTCACCTCTGGTACGGGGTGGTGTCGGCCCGGGGTCAGTCGTCGCCATTGTCGGTATCGGCGGACTCGGCCACCTCGGTCTGCAGTGGGCCAAGGCACTCGGAGCGGAAGTCTACGCCGTTACCCACTCGCCGGACAAGGCCGAAGACTGCAAGAAGTTGGGTGCCAAGGAAGTCATTGACACCAACAAGAAGGACTGGGCTAAGCCTTATGCTTTCAAGTTCGACTTCATGCTCAACTGCTCCGACATGACCAACGAGTTTGACCTTCAGACGTACCTGTCCACTCTTAAGGTCGGCGGTCATTTCCACATGGTCGGCTTGCCAGACAAGCCTTTGCCTCAGTTCCCCGCAGGCCTCTTCGCCAGCAATTCTGCCAAGATGTCCGGTAGCCACATCGGAAATAACCAGGAGATGAACGCTCTGTTGAAGTTGGCCGCCGAGAAGGGCATCTCACCTTGGGTTGAGACTATTGATATTTCGGAGGCAGGATGCAAGGAGGCTGTTGAGAGAGTGAAGGCGAACAAAGTTCACTACCGCTTTACCCTTGTCGGCCACCAGAAGGCATTCGGGACTGCTTGAGACTTTAGAGAAAGAGAATATAGAACACGTGAATAGAATCATCATACGACACCTTGTTTGCTATCAATTGATTCGGACCTGCGCAGACGTCGAACTGACTTGCCTTGACAATCTACTTGGCCAGAACAGAGGTGGAGGAAGGTTCCACTCGTTGGTGGGTGCACGTTGTCGAGTGAGATAGTGCTGACCTACCCCGCTCTCTAACTTCCTTATGCGGCTTGCTGATGACTCAATTGGTAACATACCTCGAGGTACTGCAGGGCGACTGATAGCAATAGTCGGAATCCTCGGTCTTGGGAATTGAATGGTAAGTTTGTAGGATTTTTTAGAGGATCTGACTGACGCTGACCTTCCGCCCATTTTGGATGGGGTCTAGATACAAGATTATGGGTCGGTGGGGTGAATATTCTGACAAAATACTGGATCTCACAATAAAGCTGACTGCTGGCTGATGTGAGACAAGGTCGGGTTAGAGTTTGACCGCATCTGTGATATATGTACGCCAATTTCTTGAACCTTTCATTATTATCCTTGACTCTTATGCCTCAAAGACGTCGAGTGTAGTAGCCAACAGCCCAGCCGAGAGAGACATATCCTACACACCCAGCCCAGCGTAAATCATCCGCAATGGTGTCCGAAATCCACGTTATTTCCAAGCGCGACCTCTCCAAACATGAGACCGTTGCAGTTGATCTGCCGTTGCCGCAGCTAGGCGTCTCTTCTATCCGCGTCCGCACATCCCTCATCGGGATCACGAGCAACAACCTCTCGTATGCGAAGCTGGGTGACATGCTGCAATGGTGGAACACTTGGCCCGTACCTTTGGATGCACCGGCACCGTACAACGACCGGGCCGAGTGGGGCATCGTCCCGGCGTGGGGCTTTGCGCGGGTGCTCGAGTCTAACATCGAGGCTATCCCGGCCAAGAGCCTGCTTTATGGGTACTGGCCCACCTCTTCTCATCCGGTCGACTTGTCCCTCGTTCCGAGCGAACCAGAGGGTCATTTCCGCGAGGTCAGCGAACACAGGCAGGGACTTGGGAACATTTACAATCGCTACAATCTTGTCGACGAGTCTGCTCAGTCGGAAGAGTACCAGGCATGGTTTGCCAATGTCTCTCCTATCTGGAACTGCGGTTATGTCATGAATCGCTTCACCTTCGCTACGGAATTCAAGCCGGTTCATCCTCTCGGCGTGGGAGCCGGGGAATGGACCGAAAAGGATGCGGACCTGAGCTCAGCCGTTGTGGTCAGTCTCTCGGCATCCAGCCGTACCGGCAGGTCATTTTCGTGGAACTTGGCTAGAGACAGAAAGTCAGATGGCGGACCTTTGGCTCTCCTCCAGGCCACCTCTGCGCCAGATTCTTTGAAAGCCAACCCAAAGGCAGCGTTTGAGATCAAGACGGTCAACTACTCCGAGCTCGCCGCAAAAGACACGATTGACTGGATTGCCAAACTGCAACCCAAACGCGTGGTTGTAGCTGACTTCGGTGGCCGCCCGAAGGAGACAGAGGAGTTCCGCGAGGCCATCAAATCAACGCTCCCAGAATCAACTGTGTTCACCAACATCCAAGTTGGAGGAGAGCCAAAGATCATGGCACCAGAGGAGGCCCTCAAGTCGATGGCGATATTCAAGAAGTGGGGACTTGTTCAGCTCAACACGACTGGTATTGTAGACGCTGGGATTGCTGTAGAGGGTGCAGGTAAATACTTCGACGGCGCTGAATCAACGTTCCGAAGGTTCCTCGAGGAGGAGAGCGTAGCAGACCTTGAGCTGATATGGGGAAGTGGTGTCGGAGGTACGAATGGCATCGAAAAAGCATGGAAAAACATCGTCCAGGGAACTTTGTCGCCCCAAAAGGCATGGGTTTACAGATTAGAGTAGGGTGTTGTTTGCCAGCAATTAACACAAACAATAGTCCCGCTGGTAGCTAAGTCAGTAGTCTCATGATAGTATTTGGGCAATGCACTGGGAAGCAGGGCCGGATGTTTAATGTACTCCGACGGCTGTGAATGCAAAACTCCGATATACTGACAAAATCAAATACTATGAAGAGCCCTAGTGACTCTTAGTAGTGATGCAATAACGGAAGATAATTCCACCGTCTCTCTGCATCTTTCATCTTTGAATACTAATTTGAGGTGGTGGTTAAACTTCCGAGTCTCAGACGACTGTTTCAGACGAACCATCCACGCAACTGAACCGAAAGCGAGGCGGAGGCTTAGCCCGGCGTCACCGTTCATTGGAGCTGTTCGAGGACATTTCATGTTACTTTGCGGCTAGAATTTAGTGCCTGGCATGGTCACTATCCCAGTTAGACTCTTCAATTGGCACTTTCTAGTCTCCCCCATGGATTCCCTCGTTTGACTCCTTGATATTAAACTTGACCGGTCGTTTAGTACCTTATCACAAGACTGTTCTGGACAACTATACCCAAGCGTATTTGATACAGTAGCAGACAGAGATCCCACAATTCTGCCAAGTCCCTGAGCCAGGATGCCTGTTCAGGTTGACAGATATATGAGGATTTCGACTCCAGAAAGTGAACATATAAAGCGAGTGAACAGCTGCCATCCGAACACAAGGAACTCTTTTTGACCATCAGACAGATGCTCATCCAGTCCTTCCAAAGCCTTTCAACTTGCTTTCCTACTCTCTCATCTCTGTTGCTCCCACACGTCCTCAAGTATTTGTCTTACTCATAAAGCCAAAGCCATGAAGTCTCTCGCCGTTCTTGCAGCACTCATCGCCGTCATATCGGCTGCTGTACTACGCTCGGTAAGCCTTCATAATCAGAACAGTCAACATTTCGTGTCTAACTAACACATTTCAGGTGAATGGTAATGGAGGTGATCTGTTCAAACGTCAAGATAACTGCAGAACCGCTGATAGTAAGTCTTCAAGTTACATACTTAGGTGGCTGCTCTCGTTTCCCAGGCAGTTTTCTGACCAGTGTAGACTTCTGCAACGACAACGACCCCTTCTTCACGAGATGTTGCGATGGTCTGAAATGTGTTGTTGAGAATGATCCGTCAATCGGCAGAACGAAGGTGTGCCGGTAGAATGAACTTGGCCTTGACACCAGAGTCCCCACTGCCAAGTGCGATGGGAAACAATAGGGTGCATATTGAATGCATGGTAGTCCCCATCTGGATATGGGACAATCAAAGTGGTCAATGAATTGTGCTGTTTGGATAATGGCTCCGAACTTGTATTGACTGGCAATCATTCGTGAAGAAACCCATGATTGTTTGATTTGTTTCCGGCCCTTAGTTATACAGGTTGTCATCTTAAAAGCACAATGCTCATTGCAGAAAGACTCAGAACGTTTTGGCGTGCTCCTCGATCGGTACAAGATCCCCTCTTCCCTTGAAGTTTTCGACAATATCTGCCTGTTCAGACAACATGAATCTATCTGTCTGGTTTCCGAATCTCGAGAGAACTCTCCATCTCGCAAAGTCTCCCGGGTTGCGCTTATCACCATGTGCCGCCTGAGGGTTCTCCCAGTGCCCTCTCGAGAATGAGATGAGAGTCGAAATCTTCTGCTTGGGGATGTCGTACACCAAGGAGCACACCGTTCCCGTCTCCTCCAACCAGTTGACCTGCCACAGTTCACCGGGCCGGATGCATTGATAAGTCGCCGTCTGGTAGTTTATGCGGCCGTTCATGGGCCCACCGTGGATGGCATAGACAACACGGTCCTCGGAAAAGAACCACATTTCGTACCTCCACTTTTCCGGGTTGCCCTCTGCATCTTCAGCATCATAATCATAGATGAGATGCGTATCCCGAATATCTTTATCGAACGTTGAATCCAGTGGCGTGTTTGTCTGGAAGCGGGGAAGGGCCTTCTCAGGCGCTCTGTTTGAGAGAAACATGACTCGTGCTTGTGAGAGAGATGACGTTGAATTGGTGAAGATGCAGTTCGTGTAGAGTAATGAGTTCCGATGGGAAAAGGTGAGCTAGAAAAAGTCTAGAATATCTACTTGTTCAATGTCCGAAGCAACGACTGGAAAAGAGGTAGTAGTCCGAATTGATGTTTTATGTTGCGGATGTCCGTGGAGAAGGGGTTGTTCGTGGTGTGACGGATGTGGTCTGCCTCGGCGGGTCTGTGTGGTGACATGTTTGACTCTTAGAAGGCCATTACATCATAAGCCGAACTTTCCGGCTTCGTCAAGCTCTTGCACCAAGAAAAGCTAAGACAAAGCTAATTGCGTTCCACGAGGCGCTAAATCCGGCTCTCTTGAATCAGGTTCCTGGCTCATTGTGAAAGTGAGTTGCGGGCTCAACTTTAGGCTTGGCAATTGGATATATTGCGCGCTCTACATTAAACGAAAATCCTCTCCCGCCAACTCCTCCTCAGTTAACCCATCAAGTGCTTCACCGTCCATCTGTCCCAACACAAACGCTTCTCCTACAAGCTCATAGTACGATGGCTGTTCTCCGCGCCCTCTCTCACTCCAAAAGGGACGAAGAACACAGGGTACGGAGCATCCGTACAGGATGCACACGACATCGTCGACTTTAGAATCCTGAGGAGCTATGCCGACCAATTTCCGATTGTTCTTATCTTCAGGGGCAGCCTCGCATTCGATATACTTCCTGTTCCAACAGACAGCTTGCACTCTTTTTAAATAGTCTGCTTTGAGGTTCGTCGCAGCTTCATCTTGTTGGAGGATTGCATTCGTGTCAATATTCCCGGCCCCGGTGTCAGATACAAGACAGGTCATACAAGCTCTGTGGTACCAAGCCGGTGGCGCCTTTCCATCCGCATCCCGATCTGCCACGAGCGTTCTCCAGACAGTGTCTGCGACGCCTTGTAGCTCCGTTCTCGGATCATGCCCCAAGCTCCGCAGAACTTGCCTTGGAATAATACCTTCGTACATTGGATGAGTATCCGAGACGACTCCAATGCACAGCCCTCTAATAGTGATCGTGAGGTTCATGTCTGATGTTATTCGTCTCGCGCGGAGGACCTTTCGACCAGCCACAGGTCGTTGTCGGGACGGCGCAATGGAATCAGTTTTATCATGCTCCTCGCCAGTATTCTCATCTGAAGGTTGGTCAGGCTGCTTCGGGAGTGCATTGTCTCTGCCGAAGGAGATTGTTGGTGGAAGCCCATGAGAAGCGTTGTAGCAACGGGCCTCCGGCACACCCACAAAACTATCTCCTGTTCTTCGTCCGCCGAAGCCTTCGGTTTGCGAGCCGTAAGCAGATTCATGTACTGTTTTGATCCATGATGGAAGCTCCACGAGCCTTGGGTAATGCTCATCCAAAACCTGCTTGAGCTCAGGGAGCGCCCAGTGACGGCAAAGAATATCCAGGGAGCCACTATCCTCTATGCACCATTTGATAAAGTTAGTGTACACTTGGAGCAAGTCAATGCTGTAGTCTGGTTCGGGCGGAGGGTTTCCCTCTTGCATGCTTTGTCGACGTTGTTGCACACTGTTGCTTGATGGCAGTTTACATGTCTCCTTGGCAAGGTTGAGGAGCGTGTATATAGTGTCTCTAGGATCGGACGTTTCGAATGTAGACAATGATGAGATCAGACTCTCGAGTCCTTGCCGGGGAGCATATATATTTCCGTCGACCTGTCGTTGGAATGTGTTGGATAGAACGTCGACCAAGATCCGGGCACCAAGTGGCTTCATATCCTTAATTCCTTCCAGCGACTTCTCTAATTTCGGGTCTCGCTTGATGTCTTTGAGGATGCTGTCGAATCGGAGTGCGAAAATGCTAACAGCATCTGAAAAGTCCCTCCAATTGACCTTCTTTGAGCCGCAGCGCACCTCGGCACTCTTTGCTAAAGCAAGTTCTTGAATGATCCATCGCCGAGAGAACCATCGACGCCGCATGAGATGCAGAAGCTCCGACCAATTTGTCGCGTACCTTTCTTTGAACTTCTCACCCGTGTCGTCTTGAAGTATGAAGCTGATGAAGTCCATTGCTCTGTCAGTCTTGCCGTGCTCGTCTGCTGGGCCTAGCCAAATGGCGACATTGGCTGCGGTTGAGTATATTTGACCCATGATCGCGACCTGGTCCTGCTTCTCCTTGTTGTCTTTTTGATTGATGCAAATACGGTCTACCCAGATGGCCACCTCTTTGTCCGGCTGTCGGAATTCCTGGAGAAAAGCGTATAAATTTGGTTTCACGCTTAATCGCTTCATTTTTCGGTTGAACTGAGTCGCGACTTCTGAAAAGTCGTGCATTACCGGTACACTTGGCGGTTCGTTATCCTGAAGCATATCGACGAGAACGATCTTATTCTCGTCTCCGGTGCCCCAGTTGTATGAAAGAGCCGTGAACTTGAAATCCTCGGGGTTTTCCACGATCTCTTGGATTGGGAATGACTTCAACTCGATAATGACTTCTGCAAATCGGTTGGGATTCCGTTTAAGTAACATGAGACGAATCTCGCCCTGCTCTATCGGGCAATCTTTGTAGTCGTATCGCTTCTCGTATAAGTTGGCTGCCCTGAGTAGCTGCTGCCCCTTCGTCAACTGGTCTTTCCGTGTGTGCGGGCCGTCAATGAACCCTGTTTGTTGTCTTTTTGCTGGAGTGGCAGGCGTGGGCTCCACTGTCCCAAAGCCTCGTTTTCTGAATGTACTGGTGCCATTCGGAAGCTTTCCAGCAGAGGCGATTTGCCTTTGTTCGTTGTGGTATTGCATGGCTTCTTCTCGTAAAGAACCTGCCTCGGACATCGGCTCTGGGGACTCGAATCGTTCGAGCGACATTTCCTGTATGCTTCGGAGCGCTCGAGGATATATGTACGTGAGAAATTTGATTTTCCTTCTGAGGAATGAGGCAGCAAATCAAGGCTGAAAGTTGGACGAGGTAAACCCCGATCACAACAAAGTCGAATTATGAGTGGGCGGTAGAGCGCTGCAGCCAGAGTGGAATGCCGGAAAAGTGTACAAAGCACTTGAGTGGCCAGGAGGGCGGAGTAAAACGAGGCACCGCTCTTGATATAAGAGAGTCAGAGGGGCTGGGGTCTCAGAATTTACGCCTCCTGCTGGCCAATTTCCATCTTGCGCACGCGATGATTCAGCGCATTATGCTGGCAGCATTGCAGATACCGGGCTATGAAGGCCTTGCATGTAGCTGAAAGATTCCTCACACACATGGCATGGGGTGGTCGATAGTTGGAAGCCGATGTGGCAAGTGGCAGTGTGCCATTAGGACTCAGAGTCCGAGAAGTCTATCCAATGAGTCTTTCAAAAGGCAGGGAATCAATTTCCAGATTTAGTGCCTCAACGCCAATGAGGTGGGCGCTTTGCAAGGTAGACTGATCCTGGAATGCCAGCCTGCTTCCACATCGGCAATCATTATCTCTTTCCCTATCGTCTAAGTAGACATCTCAAAGAAGACAGGGCAGAATTGGAGGTCAGCCGGGGTTTTTCCACTTCACATGCAAGAGTACCAGCTGTACAGTCAGGTTTCAAGTCTTCTGATCACCCAGGAATACCCGTTTTGTTTCTTGGTAAACATGCTTATCGTTAGCCACGCTGCATCCCGTCTCACTCTACATGTACCTTCGCCCCCCGTTTAACTAAGGGGAATATTGCTTTTACCGCCGACGCACCCTGGACAAGGACTCTCTTTCTTCTCGTAAGGTCTTGCATGGCCAACACGGCATGCAGGTAATGAAGTGCAGCTAGTTGGATGTTGGTGCATGTATTTACATGTTGGATGGTGAGCTTGGCTCGTTATAGGTCTGCCTGCTCCTCTGTGTAACATTGAACCACAGGTCCACAGCCTCCCAGGGTAGAAGCGAACCGCCACGCGGGCTTCCAGCTGGGCTCCCACCGGTGTGCTATCCAAATTGAGCCACCCATGAACAGTCCCCTCCTCAGCTTTCTCGGGAAACTGTGCTGCAATCACTATGGAAGTCCTCCGTCAAGCATAAACAGCTCTATTACCTATCACCAAGTTGACAAAGTTGCTGCTATTTACTTGCTTGATTTTACCACAGTCAAGAACTTGCGTTTGAAGTCTTGATCATTCGATGCTTTTCAAATGGACCCCTTAAGTATTAGTATGGGCGTTCTGGCCGCGCTGCAGGTTGCTTCCTCAATCCTTGCCTTCTGTTACGACGTGCGATCAGGGATGAAGAAGATCACTTGGTCGTTGATACAGATAATTGAGGAAGTCCGCGATGTTCGAAACCTCATCGAAGCAGTTCAGTCAGTCCTCGATCAGGGAAACTTAGTTGAATCCCCAGTGCCTGACCACGGCGATACTTCACTCGAGCTATCCGCGAAAATAAAGCCTGCGCTTGCAACTTGCTTATCTCAACTCCAGGCCCTCGAAGCTCGAATTAAGCCCGAGCTGATTCCCAATCTCTTGGACTCAAAGACAAAGGCTTTAGTGAACTCGATATCGTGGAAGCTAAAGCTCAACGACACGAAAGAGTCCATTGCCAATTTGCAGCGCTGCAAAGAAGGCTTGCAACTAGCCATAACTTCTCACAACGCGTCAGTTTAAGCTTTCGCCCAAATTCATGAGATTGTTCCTGACCACGTTCCGATGATTTAGAGTGACACTGCGCAATGTTGAGCGACTCACCATTTCGCTGGACTACAAGATGAATGACTCTCGAGAGCAGCTTGAACGTATAGATAGCAATCTGAGCACAGCAATACTAGGTACAAGTGAACAGGTTAGATAGAGGCGGCATTCTATCATGTATTCTGACAACTTGCAGACGAGCAACAGAAGGCAGTGGTTGACTGGCTTTCTCCCCTAAGACCGGGCCAAGCTCACGATAGAGCTCTAAAATCCCACCAAAATGGGACTTCGGGTTGGCTTCTCGTTGGTCAAGAGTTTCAGGAGTGGTTGAAAGGCGACGTCAACTTACTGTGGCTGACTGGACCACGTGAGTATGACCTTCTATTGCTGTTTCAAATGACTACAGCAATTCTAACGAGATGATCCAGCCGGTTGTGGGAAAACGGTCATGATGTAAGTAATAGTATATAATTGGGAGCACGATGCTCAGTGGCTAATAATCTAGACAGAGGTCAGGCCATCGACTCAGTTGCCGCGCTGGAACAACAAGACTGTCTTTCCGCCTTTGCCTACTGTGACTTTCGTGTCCCTGATACACAGATCTTGACCAATGTATTAGGAACAATGCTAGCACAGCTGTGCGCTCAACTGCATGACTTCCCCAAAGTTTTGTCGAGCGCACATAAGGCCAGCATAAAACAAAACTTCGGATACCCTCCGACTGTCGAGCTGCTAAGTGGCACCATCGCGTCTATCGCTGCTACAAAGAGGGTTTACCTCTTTATTGATGCCGTTGATGAAGTCTCGGATTGTAAGGCAGTAGCGGAGCATTTGGCCAGCTTAATCGATCTCACAACAGCGATAAAGATCTTTGCGACAAGCCGCAACGACGTACAGATTCAACGGGCATTTTCCAGCGCCCGACGCATCTCCATGGAAGAGCACTCATCAGATACTGACGAAGACATACAGAGATACGTCAGTTCACGACTCGAATACGACGCTGACCTGAGTTGGCTATCTTCGGGCTTAAGAGAGAGCATTCAGATATCACTCTTATCAAGGTCCTGTGGGATGTAAGTCGCCAATGTCCAGCGCCGAGTCTAGTATTGCTGATTGCTTCTATCAGATTCCAATGGGCAGCATGTCAGCTCGACTCTTTGAGTCAGTGTAGAACCATCCGAGACATCAAGAAGTCTCTGCAAAAGCTTCCAAATGGGCTAGATGAGACTTATAGCCGATCCCTACTGAAAGTGCCGCCTTCAGACATCCCTCTCATCCAGAAGACCTTGACTTGGCTTGCGTTCTCACCGGTACCCATCACTCTACATGAGCTATGGGAGGCACTGGCCATCGAGAAAGGGACCGATGTCATTGACGACGAATCACGCCTTCGAAGTCCGCAAGACATCTTGGTGATTGGGAAAAGCCTCATCACCGTCTCAACTGACGGTCATGTGATGCTTTCTCATCTCTCAGTTCGAGACTATCTCGTCTCTGCTGAGATAGTCGAAGTCCCGGAAACCGCAAAATTTTCCCTTCGTTCAGGTTCAAGCCATCGAGAGCTAGCTCAGGACTGCCTTACCTACCTGTTGCTATCGCCCTTTTCTGATGGTCCCTCTAGTACCCAGAAGGAGTACCTGTCTCGACTGAAGCAGTTCCCACTTCTCAAGTACGCAACCAAATACTGGTTCTACCATGCTCGCAACGCAGACTACAGTGAAGAGACCCAGGAACTGGCCATGCGGCTCTTCTCGGAATCTGATCGGCAAAACTTCATGTCTTGGGTCCAGGTCTTTAACGCAGATGCCTCATTCAAGTGGGACGTGTATCCGCGACACGCTACATCACTCTACTATGCTTCGTCTATAGGTCTAGATGAGGTGGTGGAGTCTTTGCTTCAGTCGGCAACACCCGAAATGATCAATGCACCGGGCAGCCGCTTTGGAGGAACGGCCCTACATGCTGCAGCCATAAGGGAACACATCACAATCATCAAACGCCTCATACTTGCGGGCGCTGAACCAGGCAAGCAGGACTTCAACGGTGTATCGCCGTTACATAGCGCTGCGAGTCAGGGCAGTATTGATGTGGTCAAGGTGTTGTTGAGCAACGGGGCTCCGATCGATGTGAAGGATGGAATGGATGGAACTACTCCACTTGATTGGGCACGTTTAAGTGGTCACGAAGATGTCGCGAACCTTCTGCTAAAAGGCCTGGAAGAGTGCTCTCCGTCACGTCCTTCTTCGCTGGGATCACCTTCTAGTACACAGGGATCTCGCACAACCCAATTTTCTCACAGGACCGAAGAACCGCAGGTTGGGATCTGGCAGCCCGGCGTGGGTTTCTTTCCAGACTACTACGAAAAGCGCTCCGGACTAGAGTCTTCGCTTGTCCTGAGTATAAGCATTGGAGAAGAGGCATCGCAAGTCGATGGCGAGTTCTTACAATCTCTGGAGAAGACTGAGGAACCAAATCCAGTTTGGTAAGGAGGAAATGTTGAAGCCAGCCTGAATAAGGTACTTGTAGCCTGGAGTGGTTTAGATACAGGTCACTCTAAGTTCTGCTGTCAAAGCTGGAGGCTGGAATTGCCCTCATATTCTAGCCAAAGCCCACATCTTATAACTGTGTCATTTGTTCGTGTTTTAATCGAAGGTTTGCCGAAAAAAACTTTTTACTCTCTGAGTAGTTGTACTGGGTATTGCGGCTCTTTATCACGTCTTGTGTTGACGAGTGAACATGGTCACAACATCTGAAATCGATCCTGACGTCCAAATTAGGCTGACCCACCTCTGAACGTTGTCGATTGCCGACATCCTTTCTTCCGCTGTCTATACCCTGTGTCGACTGTTGGATCCCATCCCATCAGGTATACGTTACGGCTGTACTGGAATACCGAAGAGACATGAAGGATTGTCTGCTAGTATTCGGATCCAGAACTCGAGTATTCTGGCCGCCAAATCGGCCTTTCAAGAGAACTTTAGCGGCGCTGAAGAGTTTCGAAACGCTTGTTACTGGGGCGGAAGCGCGTGTCTTCGTGCTAGGCGCTATTGTCAGTAAATGTCATAAATTTGGGGCCCAAGATAGAGTCCATACCTGTTCCAGTAGCATGGACCTTCTCATCCCATACTTATGTTGAAAGGAACAGTTTGCCTATCCCCATGTCGACCCAAACCAAACTCGCTCTGACGAACTGCGAAAGATTCTCCGGCGCCGAATCTTATGCTTCCGACGCCAAAGGTACCTTCGGAGTCGGAAATCGACGATGATAGGTGCTAGACATGATCTTAACATGGTTGATCTTATCCGCGACAACAGGTTTCTCGATTTTCTTATGAGAGAAGCCTCTGAAACGACTAATTTGTGAGTCTTAGCTAGGTATAGAGCACTTTAATCAGGGTTTCCCATATAAAGTAAGCTTCTATCGATGGCTTTGTAGGAGAGGGTGGAACTGGACATCATCGCGATCTCAAGTTGGGCAAGTAGCTTGAAGACTTTGAGTGAGAGCACTCTGTTTATAGCTCGATTCCCCCCTATCTCCGTTCTCTTCGTTCTTGATCATCCCTTCCAGGGATCTAGGAAAGTTCATTCTCATTGACTCGGTTCGGTTTTCGGAGTTGCCTAGAGAGTGTGAGCAATAAGACAACACCGTCAAAGAACACCTTGATGGGTACACGGTCAAGTTCATCAAGGCATTGTTCTGCAATGAAGTCGAAAACAGTGGAACAGGACAGGCAGACGAAGCAACAGCCCCAGATCAGGCACAGAGCTCAGATTAACTACACACAGACCGCCTCGAGCCCTTGAATACCTCAACTCGGCATGTTGTGTACCTTCTTCTTGGATATTTGACGACAAGCGATGCTACTCGCGGTAAAGGGCGGACGTCTAGTACCCCTTTGTCCGTGCTGTCTCGTCGTGCTGTAACCTCGATAAGCGCCTTTGTGTTGGACAAACAAATTGTCAATACTAGAGGCCTTCTGTCTCAGCACACCTTGTCTCGAGATTCTTTGGCATTCCCTCCCGAAGTCAGGGGCCTGCTTTAGGACTCGACTCATTAGTATATATCAGGAGCGAGTTGCTGCCTTATCCCAAACCGGAGACCGTTGACTGTACATCACTCACATCACCTCGCATTACAAGAAAGCCACACATTCACTGCAAGAAACTCCAAATCTACGATTAATAACCGACCCAAGAGAGACTCATCCAAGGTACCCAACCCCATCCTCCACCAAAAACTTATAGAAACCGCAGAAAACCTAGCAATGTGCATGAAAGTCTTCGCCCTCCAACGCTGCCTCAGCCCCGAAAACGGCGGCTGCGGCGACTACTTTGCAGAATACCTCGAGCAGCGCGAATGCAACCACATGGCCCTCCCAGGCCTCCCGCAACACAAATGCCGCGCCGTCTGGGCCGGCTTCGAAGACGAGCGCAGCGCCAAAGCCCTCCACCGCGACGAGTACGCCAAGCGCGCCCACAAGCTCTGCGCGGACTGCCGTGTCCGGCACCGGCTCACCTACCTCGACAGCGAGGCCCAGGCGGAGCGTAGGGGCGAGTACTCAAATCGTATGAAGACTATCATCGAGGACCTGACACGGCGCGCGGATTTGGGGCAGATGGAGTTTATGAACCGGGTGTATCGCGACATGTGGGATGCTGCGCTGGGGTATGTTCAGGGGATGGCGAAGACGACGGACGGGGTGTGGAATGGGATTGAGGGGGCGCTTCGGCGGCACTTTGGGGACAGCGGGATGGAGATGAATGTTGTGGGAAACCTGGTCCGGGACTTGAAGATTGCGAAGGAGGAGTTGCTTGAGCAGGTGATGACTTTGACGAGGGAGATGGCCACGGCGCTGGTTGGGCCGAATATGGATTTCCAGCAGGATCTGGAGGCTGGTGGGTTTAGGTCTGGATACATCACTGAGGAGTGGGAGCTGCAGAGAAGGGCGGCTGTTGATGCCTCAAGGGCGACAGCCGAAGCTGGGGACCTCGAGAGCGACGACGAGATGGGGCGAGAGTATGATTCGTCTGCATCGGTTGGACATGTGAACAAGCCGAAGTCCACAAGGTGAGTGTAGGTATAATGCGTAGTGACCGATCCACCTCTATAGCTCAACAACACCCTGCCTTTGAGAGGCAAATATGATGCTCAGAGCTCTTGCTTCCAGCTGATTATTTCCTCATCACGACGTTTCAAGATGTGATCTGGCATTGAACCATGCCATTTTGATCATGTACCTTTCAGGAATCTATAACGACCAGAAGCTGTGTCTGTATAGGAACCTACTCGGTACAGGCCCAAGTCTATCGGCGACATAGAGGTTTTCTTGAACAGGAACTTTCTACGCTCCGGATCTAGACCGGAGCGCCCCGCCTGGAGCATACCCGCTCGGTGGGGCCAGCGGATCTCGACTTTGGGCCACCCAATAGTTGTCGGTACATGAGCTCTCAATTCTCGCCGATTGACATGAAACCTGGACTCGCTTCAGTACCTTCCACTGGCGTTGTGGCAGAGTGGTCTAATGCGCAAGACTAGAAATCTTGTTCCTTCGGGAGCGTCTGTTCGAATCAGGCCAACGTCGACCTTTTGTTTTTGCCGTGGTGGTATCCGTTCGTGATGGCTGCTTACTATCCTTTTGCATGTCAACAGTCATTCAGGATGCCAGTTCTCGTAAATGCGGCAAAAATGGGGTCTGTGGAGATAAGTTGACAAGCGAGCATGTGCCAGAGATCAACATCCCGCAACCGTACGGCGTTGGGCCGCTCGCCTCGTGTTTTCAGGGAGCTAGCTCAATGCGCTGGTCTGGCACATTCCACATCGCCCCAGATTCTGAAGCTCCAACGCCAGATGCGGGCCGCCGCGTGCGTGACGGTTTATGGCATGTATCGCATGTCGTTGTCGTTGCCGTTGTCGTCGCGTCAAGTTCGCTGTGTAACGAGTCGGAGCAATTCTTGTCTCGTCTCATCAGGGACCAGGTGATGGGGCCAACGGCGATCATAGGGATGTGGGCAGCCATCTGCCTGGCTGGTTTCGTCTTCCTTTCATCCTTCCATTTGTCCCGTTGGGACGAGACGATTCGGTCGCAAAGGATGGGGTGATGGGACGATCTGCGCTAGGCACTGCGTTATTGGGAAAGTTGCAGTTGGTGCTGGAGATGTAGAATCCTAATGCTATAGAATGGGAATGACATTTGCTTCGCGGTGAGGTTTGCATTAGTTGTGCAGAGTTCGATGGCATGTGCTTGTGCTATGCATGTGATTGTAATTACATAAGCCAGGCGTTTGACGATATTTATGTAAGCCACGTCCCTTGGCCAGGCGCTGTGTGGGATGACATAATCACATAATCTGGCGTCTCGAGCTCCGCGTCAGAAGGATGGTGGGGGTCGGAGAAAACGGGGCCATTAGCACTGGCGGATGGATCTCTGGATTCTGGAATGGGTGTGCTTCATTTCGCCTTGCGTCTGCCACGACCCAATCAGACGCACTCGGAGGGTTTCTGATGTGCTAAGGATGTCGTGTGGATGTCGATGTGTGGGATGGTTGCTCAGAGTCCAGACGAGACGAGACAAGACAGAGAGAAAGGGAGGAATGGAGAGAGGACAAAAGTAGCGACGAAGACGAAGACGAGGCAGGGAGTCGACAATGAGCCGTCTGTTCCGAAGACCCGGAGGTAGCAGCCACTGGGCTGATGCAGTCGGAAGCCATCTCTGGTACCTTGGCTATTATTATTGATTTCCGGGCAGGCATCTGTCTTTGATGGAGGTTTGGAGAGACCACTGATGGAGGGGAGGACTGGACCCTTTCTTGCCTTTACCCGATGGCCTGCAGCAACCCTGGTGCGTTTTTCCAAGATCCATCATCATCCATCGAGGATGACATGATGGATGACATTGACACGGCTAACCTGCAGCAGTGGGCGCGCCAGCCCGAGCGGTGACTCTGTTCACTCTCCATTCTCTGAGCTTTCGCACTGCTGAAATCCTTGAAATTGGAGTCCCGAGTCCTTGACCCTGGATGTTGGGTAACAATGATTAGTGTTTGCAAAAAGCCGCACGGCCCAGCAGACGAGGCCGAGTCCTGGAGTGCTGGCAGCAGCAGCCAAGGCCTTGGACTGTGAATGTCTGAGCATTCGCAGAATCTACTATTGCGTTTTCGGCTGTTCCTTGGCAAGATGTTCTATGACTTGAGAAGCTCGGCATGAGGATACCAGGTTAGTAGTCACTTGAATGGCAGTAAATGACGAGAAGGAGATATGCAAAGTCCAAACAAACCAGGCCGTAGACGGACGGAGAGACAGAGAGGTAGAGAGATAGAGGCCTGACTGGCATGGCATGGACAAGGTTCTCCCACGCAGCCGCCAAAAGCAGCTGGGAGTAATACCACCTCGCATACTAAGAACCGGGCAAGGCATGCGACAAGAGCAGAAAAGAAGTGGTCACAGCTAACGGCATCCAGCAGTTTTTCGTGCCTGCCCAACCTGCTTACAGATGCTCTCCAATTACCTCTATTCGTTATCTGCTGCCTCTTTTCCTTCCATCTCTTTTTTTCTCATCCCGTCATCCTGAACCTGATTTTGCCATCCTCACCACTGCTTTGCTCCCACCTCTCTTCCCCGCCATACCTTACTATTATTGCAAGGTACTCGTCCTTTCATTACTCCTTCCAGGCAGGCGTATGACTCGGGTTTTTCTTCTTTCAGCATCCTCCGTCTAATGCCCAGCAAGCACCGTTACCAATAGCTTGCATCGAATCTCCAAGACATCCCTCCACCACTACCACCACCACCGCCAACCAACACCACTCCCAACGCTCGCGCCTGCACACACGCATCTGACGCCGACGCAAACTGACGCTGATACACCATCGCATCCGAGCCAGGACAGACGAACTATGACTGCGCCTCTGTCTGCAAGGAGGTGAATGCGTCTCGCTCAAGAGGCTGAAGACTGACACCGTCAACGTCGTCTCGTCTCCTGTGCCAACACTACCAGTACCTAGTTTTCGGGGACTATATTGGACTTGGAGGACTGGAGTCGCGAGCTCGATCCAGCTTCCCTTCGCTCGTTATCCGCCAACCTGACTCCGTAATTGCTTCCTCCTCTGCGACCACCCGCCACCCCTGCGCCGGTGGTTCGGATCGCCGTTCGCGCCTGAATCACCCATCCATCCAGTAGCTCGTCCGTCCCGAAACCACGACGATGTTTTCCCATTTACGAATCCACCGGAGGGGACAGTCGAATCCCACTTCGCCAAACCCCGAACAGCCCTCGGCCGCTGCTCCCTGGGATCCCTCGCTTCCACAGCAGCACTCTCCCTTCATTCAAGATGCCGCCTTAAGCCCAGACATGCGACCCCAGGCTTCGACAACGAATTCCTCACTGCCTCCCACCCTGCCGCCCATTCCCCGCGTCACCTCATCCAGCTCCGAATCGCCGTCCCCGCTCGAGCGACCGACTGTCGATACCAAGATCAGGGTGACGCCAGAGCTCAACACGCAGAAACCCCAGCCGCCCGTGCCTCCACCGGTGCGCTCGCCATACAACGCAGACTCTGGCTTCCTCGGTGGCGTCGCTTTGCGCAAATACCAACGCGAGCAACAGGAGCAACAACAACAGCTCAAGAAGCAACAAATGGCGGCGAAATCACCGGATCTGGTCGCGTCTCCGAGTCTTCAAGGCAGCCACGAAAGTCAATTCACAAGGTCGAAGCCCGCACCCCCGCCGATAAACACCGCCCCTCCGACGAGACCCCCACCGCAACCCACGAGTGCCTCAAAACATGCCGGCTCCTTTGCGACCCCGACCGAGCTGCATCACCAGGGCAATACACAGAGCTCGCCCCAAGCTCAAGCCTATCCTGCCACCGGACGTCGCCCTGCAGGAACGAGGTTGTCGAGCGAGCCAATCCGCATGGCAAACCATGGTTCCGATGCCCCGAAGGGTAGGAAAGGCCTGCCTTTTCTGAAAAACCCAATGTCAACACTGCTTGCACGGAGAAAGACAAGTCAAAATGCACCAGACTTGACGCCTCTCCCGCTGGGAGGAAACCCGTCATACGATCCTCGAATTCGCGGGACAAGAGTTCATGACTTTAGCGCTCCACGACCACGACGAAGCATCCCCAATAATGAGGGTCCCAGCCCTGCCGCGGCGCCAACCCCTGGGACGAAAGCACAACCGCCGATACCTGAGGAGATGTCAGACTTGGGCCAGACGTCGTCCAGAGAGAGCGCAGCACCATCACAAGCATTTCAACATGGAAGGAATACAAGCAGTGCTTCTGAATCTGGTCGCTCGGGCTCCGTCAGCGTCATATCACAGCCAGCTGTTGAATCAGGGAGCGGGTCGGTAAAGACAAGAAGCAGCTTGAACTTGGAGTCAAAACCTCTGCCCGACGTGCCGCCCAAAGACGATACCGCACCATCGTCGAGCTCGGCCTCAATCGTCTCCAAGAAGCCCTCAATTAGTGCGTCCTCGATCTTATCCAAGAAAACACCGTCCACAAGAGCAAACCCTTCAAGACATGCCTCTGTGTCTGGGCAGGATGTTCTTTCTTCTGTGCCCCGCCGATTGAAGAGTACGTCCTCCAGATTCAGCTTCGACATGGTCGGCGCGGCAAAGCAGGAGAAGCTGCTCGAAGAACGACATCGTCAACGCGAACTCGAGAGGAAGACGTCCGACCCTGAGCCTAGCGGACCTCGTGATTCTAGGTTCGACGACTTTGACGAGGACTTTGATTACGATGCGATGATGGAGGACGACGGGTTCGAAGAGCCGATTCCAATGAGCAATGACTTTGGAGACGACTACGGATACGAGGAGGACTTTGACGCTGGCGGCACAGATCCTTTGGGTCTCGACGACGGTGAAGACTTCGATGCGGCTGGAACCGACCCCTTCGCTCTTGATCCGGTCCCAGAAGTTGAGATCGAATTCGACGAGGATGCTGCAAACGACCCAGACAACGATCAAGAGAACTTTGCTGGCTTTGTCTTTCAACGATCAGGCCCTCCCTCGGCCTTGACCAGTCCACACAGCGCCGGTCTATTAGCGACGCCGAGAGATGCAGACGGAAAGGTGATTGGATTCGCCATCTCGAGAGATACGCCAGATCTGAACCAGCTATTGAGTCCCGGCTTTGCTCCCGATCAGAACTTGTCGCCCACTACGACTGATTCAGCTGCCGAACTTCCGATCGACGGCTTGAATATTACCGATACGAAGCTGCAAGACGAGGACAAAACGTTGCGCGAGCCAACCCAGTCTTTGTCGCCCGCTCCACTATCAGTCCCTAAGAAGGACGATCTCTATTTTGATAACGGCCTTCTCGATGAGTTGGAATTTGCTGGCGAGGGGGACGGCTCTTACTTTGACGAGTCCATCTTTGATCTGGACGATACAGACAAGTATGGCCGTCCTATTCCGGGCGCCTTTGCCAGAGCTCAAGCTGCCAGAGCTGCGATGACTGGTGGCACCACCCAGCCTGAGAATAAAGTGCAAGGAACCGATGCCGAGGTCGGCGAAAGTCAAGATCCTAGCGTCCAAGACGGCAGTGCCCCTGACAATGTCAAGAGAATCTCAGACAGCACGTCTCGCCTGTCTGCGCATTCCAATGTATCGCAATCGACAGCCCATACTTCCCTCAGCGTCGGTATGCCGGCTCCTTCTGTCGACGAGTCCAAACGAGGCAGCGACGTCCTCGCCCAAGGCCAGGAATCTTCCGCAATGACCTCTAGTTTCTCAGCGACGGGCCAGGACAAGGTGGATGCTTATCAAACTGCTCTGGCGGCAGCAGCGTTCGAAGCCGCCGCCAATGGTCGTTTTCGACGAGACTCGTCACCCCCTCCAAGCGAGCTGATGTCGCCCAGTGGAGAATCCTTAGATGACCTTCCACAGCATGAGAATATGGACGACTACGATGATTACGACGACACTGGGTTTCGCGAAGACCTGAATGATTACGATGTCGACTATGACGACTTCATTGCGGAGGCGAACGCTAGTGCCCTTGCCAACGACTCTGACGGTTGGTATGGTCAGGAGTTTGGGTTCTACTCTGCTCCTGTCGAAGGAGGTGGGCGCCACAGTAGGGACAGCTCCAACGGATCGGATGAGAAGCCTTTCGAATATGCTAACGGCGGCTTCTTTGGGCCGTCGGGTGTATCCCGAAGCAAGTCCGGGAGGATAGTATCTCGAGAGCCCAACCTCACGCCTATCACGGAGAGATCCGAGTACTCGAATCGTAACTCGATCATGAGTCTCGCGGTCCCGCCTGGCATCGGTTCCGGTCCATCAAGTCTCCAGAGCCCTGGCCTGGCCCAACTTGCCATGATGGCTGATGGTGACGATAACATGAGCCTATCAGCGCTGATGCGGCTTCGTTCAAGGGCTTGGGGTGGATCACAGGCCAGTCTGGTCTCCAGTCGGGAGGGGTCACCAAGATCTGAGAGGGGCGAAGGTGGAAGCTCACCTTGGGGCCCGGGGCCTCACAACATGCTGGGCATACATGGCCATGGCCGTAAGAACTCGGCATTCTCTGTTCGCAGCCGCGACATGGATTCTTCGGATGCAGGCAGCACGTCGGGCTCCCCTACTCTCACCATGTCCATGCCCACTCTAGGGTCACCGCCTCCGCCTCTGCCACCACTGACACAAAGTCCTGCGGTGGTCATGAACTCTCCCCACTTCACGCACAGCGCGGCATTTGACCCCGTTCCAGAGTCCGACGAGATGGATGAGCTGTCAATCTCCAACACCATTTCCCACTCGGGCTTATGGATGAAGAGCCCGGATACAGCTATGCATCCGAACCTCGTGCCCCGGATCGACCCGACGCCCCAACCTCAGCGGAGGCCCGGCATGGGTCACAAACACAAGGGGTCTGCGGACAGTATATCTTATATCAAGGAGGAGGAGAGTGGCGAGACTAGATGGGTTCTCGAGCGACGTTTTACCGCCGATAGCGGAGAGATTGAAGTGCAGCGGGAATTCGTCGGCAATGGCCAGATTTAGGATATGCGGCCTCCAGAATTGCCCAGCCAGGATCAAGGTGGGAGAGGCGATACTCCAAACGTCGGGCTGACTGCGCCCGACATTATCGAATGATATCATCCAACAGCGACGGCGTAATTGTTTTGAACACACGATACCTCAAGTAGAGTATGAAATAAGGAATTTAATGATGGCATACCCTGTATAGAGTAAGCGGCCCGAGCCACAGGCATTTACGGATGCAGTGTAGAGAGCTATGGCACAAGGCTGATGCCGGCAGTCGAGTTGGAAATAGGACAACCAAGAATAATTAATACCTTCACACCTGCCGCCTCTCGTAACTTGAGCAACCCACAATGAAATATTAAGATCCATAAAGGTCAGTCATATATAGCCCTAATGTTCTGATCCCACGTTTTGATCCCAAGTACCTACCTAACCCAAAGGATCTCTTCTCACGTCCGTTATTCCATGAATTTAGTCTGACACAGTTACATTGAATCAGTGACGTTCTACCATCTCACCCTTATTTTTGTCTCCTGATGAGTCGATTGGCTTGAAAATGCATCAGAAACTTCAGACGAACGCGATTGTTATGTACTTCCAATTCCAATAACACAGTATTTACAAGAATCGAGCATCAAATCTCATATATGCCCCCCCCCCCCCCTTCACTCCCCCCAAATCCATTTATTTGTAGCTTCATCTCATTCCATCATATCTTCATCACCAGCATCAGTCATCAACACCCTACCTCTCCCTCCCTCCAACATCACTCGCAAACCCCTCCCTCCCAACCCAGACTCACTTGGACGGCTCACCATACGCATAACTAAAAGCAACAGGCGTCCCAAAGTTAGGCGAGCCGTTACTATGCGTCCCGAGCATCTGCACCATGGTATACCGACTATCATCGCACGCGCCCGCACTATTCGCAGTAGCATGGTACGCAATCCACGTCTGATCCCCCTTCGGGCTCGCAAAGAAGCTATTATGCCCCGTTCCATAATGCCCATTCCCACTACTCAGCACACACCCATTCCCCTTCGTCCACGCCGCGGGGTCCGTCGGCGCCCTGCTCCCGTCCCAGGTCAACAAACCCAGACAATACGACGCGGACCAGCAGTACGAAGCCGAGTACGCGAGGTAGGTCTTCCCGCCAAAGTAGAGCGCCGCGGGGCCTTCGTTTACGGGGTGGGAGACGCGTTCCCAGGATTGGGTGGGCTGGGAGATGAGGGCGACGGAGCCGGAGGTGGAGACGTAGTCCGTATTGAGCTTTTGAATGCAGATGGATTGGTAGGTTGCGCCGTGGAAGCAGGAGAAGACGAGGTATTCGCCTAGGGAGGGGGTGCGGAGGACGGAGGCGTCGATGGCCCATTCGTCGGGGCCGATGCGGCCTACGTAGGTGTAGGCGTCCCAGGGGGTTGTGCCGCCTGTTGTGTGTTAGTGGCGAGGCTCTCATGGCATTGTTTAAGCTAGTGACGAGAAGAAGAGGAGTGTGTAAGTGAGTGTGTGGTGTAAGACGTACCCCTCAGAACATGCATCCTCTGATTATCCAAATTCGCGCTCCCGCCCGCCGTGAAGTAGATATACCACCGGTTGCCCAGCCAGTGGACCTCGGGCGCCCAGACGTTGCAGCATCGCGAGGCGTCGGCGGAGGAGTAGACGACTTTCTTGGTGGCGGTCTTGAGCCCTTCGATGGTGGTGGAGCGGGCGATTTCGACGGTGGACCAGGTCGTGGAGAGGAGGTAGTAGTAGCCGTCACCCGAATAGGTCAGGAACGGGTCGGAGCCGCCGGGACGGCGGATGGGGTTTGTGAAGGCGGAGACGAGGGGTGCCGCTGCGAGAGCGAGGAAGGATGTTAGGGTTGAGAGGAGACGCATTTTGGGCGTGATGGGGTGGAACTTGGAGGTCCCTTCTTCTTGTGATGAAGAGTGAGCCGGTGGGAGGACGGAGTGGAAGAGGGAGTGGATGAGGAGATTTATATCGCTTCTCAAAGGTCGTTCATCACGGAGGTGTGAAGGGAGTGGGAGGGCATCGCCGTGTAAGTCATCTTCCGAGAACGTCACATACGCCGCGGGTCAGTCTCCGTGTAAGCGAGCCCATCAGACACGCCACAGACTGCAATCATCCCGCCAATTTCGGGTTTACTCTCCTCAGAAGCCCATCATAGGCAGACAGTTCTCGGGGAGAGGGAAGGGGAGTCAGTCAACTCGGCGTTGTCTTCAAAGTGGACCGCTCGCCCGCCGTCCGCGGTCTACCCGGCGAAAGAGAAACCAGCCATTCTGCCAAGATTCGAGACCGCAATATCGGAGGAGGTGGGGGATTGGTGGGATTAGCGGGCGATGCCCCTGCCGGAGCGGGGGTCCGGGGGACACCCCACGATGGACACCACGCGCCGGGCATGGTCCTTGGACGAAGACAATCGTGGAACTGAGGATTGTGGATGCGAACACGCGAGTCTCTTCCGGTTGGATAGACGTGCCGGGACTGTATCGGCATTCTCAGAAACACGATATCGAAGTGAGCTACCTAGTAGAACGGACAGAAACGTGCTCGTTTAGAAGCCGATCCCTTACCATGCATGCGAACTGCTGTACTCCGCGCCATGGGTGTGCGTTCCTGGAGCCGACGGACGTTGAAGCTTAAATTCTCCGGGGTTGCCGTCGTGAGTTTAAGCTTACCAGGGGGTTGTTCATCAGCTCGCGTGTCGGGCTTGGGATTCCCGGCGAGTCGGGATGGCAGCGATGCAGACGTGAATATGATTGGAGCGCTTGACATCATTGCCATCCATCTTCCCTTCTTCCCAGAATGATGTGTTCCTGAAAGCGCCAGCTCGCCAGTCATGTGAAAGGTTGCCCATAATGCCGTCTTGGAAGTTTGGTTCCTAGTAGTCTTGGCAGAGAATATCCATCAATGGTTCAATAGCCGTTGATGGAGTGGAAAGATTGTGATTCATAAGCTATGATACGGTCGCTACCGTGGGCGAAGGGAACATACGCTGCCGTGGAATATTGTGATAGTCCAAGTCACGGTGAAGGAGGTGGGCGGCAGATGAAAAAGTCTCTATCACGAATCACAGGCCAAACGCGAGAACCAAGGGTTTCTGTATATAAAGGCGGAGAGAGGCACTTTTCGGTTTTCCTTGCCCAAGAACCCGCAGTTTTCCTATTGTCCTGTGGCATTAATCGGCCATCAAACTTTAGGAACATGCCATTGGCATGTTCTAGGCCACGTCGAGGGGTGATGGAGAAGGTAAGGAACCTTAAGGTAGACATACTGATGGTAGCGTCTGTGAATGGTGAACCAGACTTTTTGAGAAAGCTGATGAAACAGTTACTCGCCTCATCGAGTCTGTCCCTTCACGAGACATACAACCTACCATTATCTCCCAATAGTTCCTTATGAGACGGTACTTCTGTCAGACTTGAGAACTAGGCGTAAGTCTTAAGCTCTTTTATATGGTAAGGTAGGGTAGCTTAACCAGCTGCTTGACACGAGTGCTCCGTGTGGCTGTACGTAGATGGGAGGATTAGCAGCCATACACGTGTCTGGTATTTAAACTCGTCGTGTGCTAAAGAGATGTCCCCTTGGAAGAGGCAGGCAGGCATCTATCTCTGGGTGATCTGAGACCGAAGCCTAGGAATACAAGCGTAGTTTGAAATGTCACTAGGCATGTACCAATGACGACTCGTGTAAGTTGGTAATGAAATCGGTTAGATACTATATAGGTCTTTGCCCGGTCGACAGTGCCCCGTGTTGGGAGTGTATTACGGATGGAATAAATCTCGAGATATACTGAGTAGATAGAGTGATCCTTGCTTAGGTCGAATCAACAATAGTGGCGGTGACACCTTGGTAACAAAGACAGGAAACTCTCTCTGGAAATGAGTTGAATTCTCGAGCTACTAATGCACTGTACAATCAAACAACCAGTTGGTATGAGGGCTCAAACTCCATGATCACAGAGTTTAGAGCCCACCCACGGGCATCCCATTATGTCATCCACACGGGAGGTACCTCCAGGCCTGCCCAGGCACCTTTGAGCTTCCGCGACGGCAAACCTCGGCCCCATCCGCCTCCGCCACCGGAAGCCCAAAGCCATGGATGTCGCCGCTCATTGGGGAACCCAAGTGTGCAGCAGCTGCCAGCAAGGGTCCAAACAAAAACCAAAAACGCCTCCCGCGCTGCACTGCGCTGCGCTCCGACCAACCCGCGTCAATGACATTGTGACATTTTCTTTTACCGAGCATTTTCGCCATCGTCCCGAAATCGTCCACCTCCAAACCCGCACTCTTCACATCACCACCTCCAAAACCGTCAACAACGCCTCTACACCCCACCTCGACCAACCCAAACTCTCACAAATCAAACGTAGAAGACAAAACCCCAAGCCGACAAAACACAACCCAAAAATGTCTCGCCTCCTCCGCCTCCGCCCCCTCCTAAACCTCACCCACGGCAAACCCTCAACCTCAATCCCGGCCCGCCTCTCCTCAACCTCAGCCTTCTCCCGCGGTCCCGCGCCCCCTCGCCTCCCAGCAGACCAACAAGCCGAATTCGAGCGTCTCCAGCGCCAGGCCTCCGTCTCGAGCGCCTTCCAACACCTCGTCGAAGAGCAATCTGAACCTCCCGCCGACGCCTCATCTACCTCTGCCGACTCACCCCCCTCCTCAGTCGCAGCCGAAGCTACCACAACAGCAACGGCGACCGAACCTGCTACCACTGCGACCGCGACCCCCACGATCGCAGCAACGGACGAAGACACAATGCACCCAAACTACGTCCGCGGCGCCCCCGCAGAGTTCGAGGGCGACGTCAACCCGCGCACCGGCGAGGTCGGCGGGCCCAAGCGGGAGCCCCTTCGTTGGGGGTCTGGTGGTGATTGGAGCTACAACGGTCGCGTGACGGATTTCTAGATGTTCCGTGAACGATAATTTCATGTCTTTTTTGCGGGGTACATCTGGTAGGAAGTTGAGCGCTCCTAAGAGAGAGAGAGAGAGAGAGAGAGAGAGAGAGAGCGACTTGGCCTCGATAAAGATGGAGCCGATTCGACTTGCAAAGCGACGCCAGAAGACATTGGGACATCCCCTGCTAGGCAACACGTTTAAATGAAGAGGTCCTCTCGCATTGTATCATCAGTGTATAGTAACTAGTCGCCATAATCACATCAAGATACCATCTCATGACCTCGAACCACTTCAAGTATTCAAAAAGTATTGGGTATTATAACCAGCGCTACTCCTACAAAACTACTCCAACTTTGTCATCCGCTGCTCAATGCTCATATATGCCATTCGTCTCTAAATCAAGCCGTGATAGATATCTCAAGCAACCGGAACGTCAGAGACCTTTGCGGCGGCACTATCCACATCCATCTTGTCGTCATCGGCCGCTGAAGCGCCATTCGTATTGACTCCGTTCGCCTTGGGAGCCGCACTTTGAGGAGGCTCGCCGTCGATTCTGTTTTCCTTGTCTCCTTCGCTCGGCGCTCGTTCTTCCTTGTCCTCGCCAAAGGCGCGCGAACCTTGGTTTCTCTTCCACCAAGTGCCGGAGACGATCTCTCCTCGAATCTTACTCAGGCGAAGCTTCTCGCGCTCCAGCTCAGCCCCGTTAAGGCCTCGGCTGGCCGCGTGCATCTCTCCCATGGCCTTGCGCATTCGCTCTCTGCGGCCTTTGCCACGGAGACGGTTTTGCGTGCCGGCGCCATTCGTGACCCAGCGAATACCCGTAATCATGTAGCTGATGCCGTCATGGATCGACTGTCGACCGTTGTACCGTCCACCAAATTCTCGCGACTGAATGCCGAAGCGAGTAGTGCTACCGTACTTATCTAATCGTGGGAGAACCACGAGGCTGACGTGCATATCGCGATCGACGGGTACAGTGACAGGGCCTGTCCTGGGCGGCTTTTCGAGATATGTGGCCGAATTGGCCTCCAACCGGGCCTTCTCCTCCTTCTCCTTTTCCTTGCTGCGTCTTTTCGTTGCCGGAACTTCTTTTTCGGGGGCATTGATACCGCGATCGAGGTCCAACATTGCCACGTCCACATCATCAGCCCATTCACCCCGAATCCATCCGCCGTGAATGCAGGCAGCAACGACATCCGAGTCGTCCGTGTACACGTCTGTGCCCCATAATGCCCTGCGAGCCGTGATCTCTTCCCTTGCCGCTGAAGTCAGGTGCACCTTGGGTACCTTCACCGTCAGTGTGCAGTTCTCCTTGTCCTTGATGACATTCCAAGGAAGTGGCATTGGCGTCGAGGAAAATCCGCGGCCGGATGGAACATTTGGCAATTGTCTCGCGGGGCTGAGCTTGGGTTCATAGAGCACATCGCCCAGATGGGTTCGCGGCAAGTGAGCAACCGACTCGACCACAGCCTTGGAGGTTACAATTGTCTTCGGCTTGGGAGGAAGAAGATTCGTCGGGCTCTGCACGGCCTGCTTGGCGGGCGTCTCCTTAACGTGTGTATGCTGATGCGCTGGTCGAGGAACATGATGGTGGTGAGCAGCCGGCAAATCCTTCGCCAGTCCTGTCGGAGATGGGATGGGAGTGTTTCCCTTTACGTTCTTGAAAGGCGTGCCGCCACTGGGAGTAGGGGTGGGGGCATTGGCGTGATCGACAGCATGATGACCATGGTGGTGATGGTGATGATGGCTGTCGTCGTTAGTCGTTGTAGAAAGACCAGAGGGAACCGGGACGTACTGATGGTGGTGGTGTTGATGAGTCTTCGGGCGCTTTGCTCGACCAACAGGCGTCAGTCGTCCCGTGCTGTCCTCGTCACCCTTGGTCTCATCTTCCTTCAACTTTCTCCGCCTGCCCTTGGGTTTGGGCGCTGCTGTGTCTGGTCCAGACTCGTGCGCTGGGCCGTCTGTTTCGTCGCGTCTTGCAAGACTCGCGTTTGTGTATGGCGATGGAGTCACGGTGTTGACAGGGCTGCCAGTAAGGGTGACTCCGCTTCCTATCCCGGAGAACATCTTACCAAACTCGCTCTTTATGCTGAGCTGCCCTGGTGGTCCTGGCTGTCGTGATTGTGCTCCTTGGACAGCCTGAGGCAGCGGCGACACTCGTCCTTTCCGATTAATTTCCTGGACCGCCAACAAATTTCTTTGATTATTGTTTGGATGCTCTTCCGCAGGTCGGTTGCGAGGCGAATCGTACATTGGCGGGCCATGAGGTGTGCTGTATGCGACTGATGGAGGCGGCGGGCCTTCCTCGGCCGGACGGCGATGCGGCGGAGGCGGTTGCCCTTGGGGGTGTAAGTGATTTATCCGTCGCTCGGGAGAGTCAAAAGGCTGCTGCTGCTGTTGTGGTTGTTGTAGCTGCAGGTGCGGCTGACCGGGCTGGCCGGGCTGCCCTGGTGGCCCGGGCTGGCCTGGAGGGGGCTGCTGAGCATGATTGGGAGGATACCGATCGTTGGGAGGTGGCTGTTGCTGGAACTGAGGAGCCGGAGCGGGATGACCCTGACCTTGAGGTGGGTAGCCAGGCGCAGAGGTCGGAGGGTATTCGTGATGCCTTGGGTGTAATCCAGCGGGATCGTACGGTACTCTAGACTGATCAAAAGGCGGCTGCTGTCTTGGCGGCCAAGGGCCTTGTTCACGTTGCTGCTCCGGGGGCCGGGTAAATGGCGGAGGCTGGCCTCTTTGAACTTCCTGGGGCCGATATTCGCCCTGGTGTACAGGAGGTCCTCGACCGCCGTCGCCTCCCGAATATGCTCTGTCTCTGCGCTCTCTTTCCCTCGCCTGCTCCCTTTCCCTGAACTCGATCTCATCCCGGCGATCTCTTTCTGCGCGGTAACGGTCATCAAAGGTCATGGGCTTCAGACCGGGTCTTTCAGGATTGTACTCCATTGAGCCTCTGGATATCTCCTCTCGCCTCGGATACATCTCTTCCGGTCCGTTATTTCGACCCATATCAGCAGACCTCGGCGGCATGTTCTGGAACGACTTTGGCTGGCTCGTAGGCCTCGGCGGAGGGCCTTGAGGCATTCGGCTCGATTCTCTACCATCTTGAGCTGAAGGTCCGCGCTGGTGGTAGCTCTGCTGGGGTGTGCCGTACCGCTGCATCTCGGGCGTGGTCGAATAAGTACCCTGTGGTGATGCAGCAGCGCTGCCTCTCGGATCATACGGGCGCTGATGGTCTGGTGTCTGAGGTCTTCTGAAAGGCTGGTAGTCGGAAGATGCAGAGTGCATTCTCGGGGAAGCCTGCATCGTCGGCGCGAACGTCGGCCCAGAAGGCGCCGAGGTCGCAGGCGCAGGAAAATGCGAAGGCGGTGGCTGCGACTCTCTTTGCGCTGCCGGAGGACCGCCCAGCATGGAGGATATTGACATTGAACTACCGGTGCTTCCCGTTCTTTGTATTGAGTGTAGCGAGGGTAGCTCGCGGCCCCCCGGAAATGAAGTTGGATGACCAACATTCAAAGGCGGAGCTCTTGGCACAGGCAAGCCATAGTGTCCCATCTGATGCGATCCCGGAGGAGGTGGGTTCCCGGGCTGGGGAGGAGAGCCAGGAGGAGGCATATTACGATTCATCGGCGGGCCACCAGGTAATGAGGATGCACTCGGGTGTCGAGAGTGGCCCGAAGGAGGAGGACCCGAGCTGGGCTCTTGTGGGAACGATCTCGGGCCCGATGAGTAGTATGGATTTTCTGAGGAGCGCCGCTGATGCTCGGCATATGGAGGATTATTCGCAGGCGGATGGGAGACGGGTGGGAATGGCGACTGGTTCGGTGTTGATGTCGCGGTCGCGTTCGACGATGGAGGAAAAGGTGAGCGGCTGTACTGCGAAGCAGCGTTGCGCGAGAAGGGCAGCTGTGGCGGCTGTCTTGGATCCATCGCGCCGAGTTTTTAGCTCAAAGCCCACAGGGTGGATTGCACATAGGTGTCGGAGGGTGCGTCAGCGCGACGGCGACTAGGGTGCAGTGGATGCTATCGCAAAAGCAGACTCGTGTGCGGGTGCCGAAGAGGATCGCTCGATAGGTAAAGGTATCGTTCGGTGCTGGTCGCAGTGGTGAGGGTTCGACAAGGCGACGGTTCAAGAACCGAGAGTGTGGTGTTGTGGGAGGGTAAGGTTGAGGGTGAGAGGCAAGGTGAGGTGAGGTGTGAAGCAAGGTAGGGAAGTAGGAGGGAAGGGTCGAGGAACAGAGGAAGATCGCGACACACTGTTGTGTTACACGGACGCAGAATTATTTTGGATTCCCCTGGTCGGATCCTGTTTCGGTGGAGCTGGGCTGGCCGGCTGCTGGCATTGAACAGCTTGTGCCTGTGCTCACTCTCGTTTTTTCCCTCTCTTTCTTTTCCTTGGCCCTCGCCTCTTTTTTTTGCAGTACCTCGGGGGCCAGGGGTGTGAAGGTCCAGGTGGAGGTGATGGTGGACTGGCGACAGGGTCCCGGTTCTTGTTGGTGTGGGTGGGTTGAGGAGATGGTTGTGTCTTGTCTTGTCTCCTTCGGGGATGGGGGGAAGACTCAAGAGAGAGGTCGAGATCAAGGTCAAGGTGACAAGGTGGTTCACCCTTGATCACTGCAGTCTGCAAGGTGGTGGTAAGAGGTCAAGCTGGAGACGCAGCTAGGTCCAAAAGTCGAGTTCGACCACTCGACCTGCTGTTGCTTGGAGACTTATCCGTACCTCAGGTTGGGGGACTTGGGACCGTGAGCTGGTGACCTTGGGGCCGCCGCTGGCAAATGGGCGCAAATCAGCCGGAACGCGACAGGGATGCCGGGGAAGGTTCGTTCGCGCTAGTGAGACAGGTGGCCCCCCGTTGATGGGAAACGATGATGTCGATGCGCCGCGCCCGGGGAACGAAGTATGTATGGATGTTGTTTTCCCTACCGCAAGCCGGTGGGCTCCTTTGTCGATTGACAGATTTGACGTGATGAGTTGGTGAGGTTGCTTTGTCCGTGGATGCTCAAGTCGAGTCGTAA